TGCTCACCTGCACTCATGCGTAGCTCAGAGGCTCAATGGAGAGCACTAGAGTAGAAGGAATATAATTAAATATGCGCTTAAGTGTGTGTTTACACAAGATTCAGGTGTGATTTTGTTGAGTGCTGTGTTTTGTGCATTTGTCAAATGAACAGGAAGCACTTTCAGGCCATTGAGCAAATGTGACAGTCATTTATTGTGCGGGTTATTAGCATTATGCCACCAGTGGCTTTCAAACGACTGAAAACTGGCTTTGCGTTCGGAGAAGAGACAGAATGATCTCCCTATGGAGCTTTTGAAAAGATGAATCCACGGGTAGGCTTCAATCAATGATTAATTTCATCCATCAAAGAAGCAATTTCTATGCAAACAGCATGATTTGCAGGCTCTAATTATTAGTAGTCATTTTTTATTAGGTTTTGTCTCGCTCTTGGTGTGTGTGTGTGTGTGTGTGTGTGTGTGTGTGTGTGTGTGTGTGTGTGTGTGTGTGTGTGTGTGTGTGTTTGTGTGTGTGTTCATATTGTATCCTCCTTTGTACATAATGAACTCAAACAGCAGAAAGGCTTAATAAATAACGAAACTGATCTAGAAAAACCTTCTGAATGTTGCACTTTCGGATGGGTTTTTATTATTACTCCAAGATGTGTAAGATTTGGGAGTTTGTACAGGTGAGTAAAAATTCTACTGGTTATCTGAATATCCTGACAGGGTGAAATAGTGTTGCATAAAGAGACTTATCTTCAGGAGGCGATTAATCACCGTTGAACATTAATGACTATGATCGTTTTTGCAGCGAGAGCAACTGAATTTTAAGTGGAATGGCTGGAGGCCATTAAATGCATTGAGCTGATGTGTGTGTGTGTGTGTGTGTGTGTGTGTGTGTGTGTGTGTGTGTGTGTGTGTGTATAATTATACAGCTTTGCTGGGGTAAGGAAACATTGAGCGATTGAATGTTTGTGGTGGAAGGTACTTATCTAAATTTCAGTTTCAAAACTATCCATTTTTTTGCCTGGAGCTTCCCATCTGCCAGTTATTCAAGCTGATATAACTAAAAGATGGCTTTTTTGTAATTCAGGTCATGCTTGCTGTATAAATTCATATTTTAAATTATTTTTATTGAATATGAATTCATAACTAGACATGGGTTGATAACTATTTTCACAGTATACCGTGGTTTGGTAAAGTAAAGGTTTTAATACTGCCAAAATTTTCTGTAAAACCATTCTTACGATATATGTAAAAAAAAAATGTATTTACATTTTTGTTTCAAGTTTTTTAGGACAATAGTATCTCCCAGAAAATATCTACAAAGATGCCATTTAAATTGTAAAGATAGCAGTGATTTTGAAACTAATGAAGACAGCAGAAGTCAATTATTCTTTTGAATTATTTAGCCTGACATCTTTACTGCTCCAAAATGTTTGAAATGTTTCCCAAATTAAAATATGTTGTGTTCAAAAGTTTTTTACCCAGACATTTAAAAAGAATATATTTCAGAGCAGTAATCATAATACAGTGAAATCCAAGATTATTATACAATTCGAATGTTATATGGACCCATACTTATTCATAACTGATACTTTTTAGTTTTAGTGATAGTTCAATAAGCAAATGCTGGTAATGCATTAAGAAAAGTTACATTATTAACATACTGCTTTTATTCATTGTTTAATTCATGTTTTTTCATAATATATTACCATGTTTATAATAATCTACTAATAGAATAATCACTAAAATAATTGTAACACTTTAAAATAAAGGTTGTCAGTTACTGTATTAACTTCAATGAGCACTGCATTTGTACAGTGATATTCATCTTAAATTTTTTGTTTGTGTCAAATAATTTTACTTAATTCATTACATTTTTTTTGTGTATGAATACATTTTTTGTGTGTAAATGATCAATTAGATTCTGGTAACACTTGGTTTAATTTTACTCAAAAATATGTTGCTTGTTCAAACTACTTATGTAAAATGAGCTGAAACAACAAAATTCTTGAGTTAAAAGTTAACTTAAAAGTTTTTTTGTTCAATCAACATAAATTTGTAAAATAATTAGGTTGAATTATTTAGTTATTTGCATTGGGAGAACTTGAATGAATTGTGTGGAACCCAACATTTTTTAAAAGGGTTATTACAAAGAATAGATGCTTTAAAATGTTGTTTTTCTTTAATAGTTTTCTAATACCTAATGTATTACCTAATTAGATTAATGACTACTTTTACATGAGCATGTTATTATGAGTTGATTTTTAAATGTTCCTTTCATGATCCTGATTTTACATGTTATAGCACATAAACCATTGACATCATTGCATCATTACGCTATCCACACTCCTCTGGAGTTTCATTTAATTTCAGGTGTTTAATTTAAACATTTTCGGCTTTATCTGCAGTTCAGCACTTTCATTCAGGGACATTTCATTCATGCCCCCATGACAAACTGAGGTGTTGGATGTGAGTAGTATTAAGGACTGGAAAAAAAAGTGTTGTTTAAATGGAATTTGATACTGCATGCCGAATGGGAAAAAAAACTCCACATTTTGCAGTGTGTCTGTGGTTCTTTACTGGCTCGGTACTGGCAGAGAATAGCCAAACAGCCGTGTGTGTATGGAAAATCCATTCACAAAATGTGGCGCCAAGTACTACATGATGGTAATGATTTCGTGCTTACATGACAATAAAGACACTAAAATCGGCATACTCCACGTCTTAATCGGATTTCTGTTTAGTTCAATTAAGACTTTAATAAGATTAAATTAATCAAAAATCACTGTTTATATCATGGTGTCCATGTAAACATACTCAATGTTAATTTACAAATATGATATTATGACCATTCAGTTTAAAAACCTATTCACATTAATACCTTCTAGCTTTATTACCTGCCTGTTATTAAGGGTATTATGAGTTGTTTTTTAATACTAAAGTGTGATCTCATTCTTCATCATTAATCCTGAATTAATACCTAAACACATGGCAAATTAGTAGTTTATTGAGCTGAAAAATTTTGTAAATTGTGTATTTTGTAAATAGCAAGAATTATACCTTAAAATAAAATGACAGACATTGTTCATTGTTTATCAATGTTTGTTAACTACAAGTCAAGCATACAAAGGATTTAACTGATATCAATTAAATGAATCTCATTTTAAACTTATATTCTATGATAACAACCTGAGCTAAAACAAAATTAAAAATAATGTGTAATGCATAAGATTTCAACAGATGTTGTGTGATTTAAACCAAGTCTTTAATGACACATCCGGATCATTTAATGTCTGTCATAAATCTTATTCAAAACACAGCACCATGTTTTAACTTCTTTTTTTATTGCTTTAATTACCAGCTGCTTCCTTTCAGTTTATAATTAATGAAGATGCTATCTGCAGGGAAGGGTTAAAAGCACTCGCTTTCATAAATGTTTCATGCCACAGATTTTACAAAGCAGTCTAATCACCTAGCAAACAGTTAATTGCCCTTTTGTGTGTGTGAGTGAAGACAGACAGAGTTTCTCTGGGTCAGCAGCTGTTAGGCAAGCGTGCTTTATAAACCATCAGCATGTTTATATGTGATCAAGAGGGACATGTTAGGCCATCCCTCGCTGACTTTTTAAAGAAGCACCCTGCTGGTCCTCCAGGATGAGGCTTTTAGCTTCAAATTGACAGTCACCTAGGGTATACATAAACTGGAATGAACTGGATTATTATTAACAAAGTGGGGTGTGTGATGTCAGGGATATGTTTGGTTGACATTTTTTGTTTTCGTTGACTTTTATTAATGCAGATTTAAATCAACCTAGTGCCATTTGAGAAAATATTTATGCTGCACAGAACATTTGATTGTACTGTTGCTTCTTTATACAGTTGAAGTATAATAATATAATATTGTTATAAAGTTATGAAGTATAGTATTGTATGCTTTGTTCTGTAGATCATCAAAAAATATAGCTTAAAGGGGCCAATAATTTTGATCTTAAAATGGTTTTTAAAAATTTAAAACTGCTTTTATTCTAGCCGAAACAATGCAAATAAGACTTTCCCCAGAAGAAAATCTATTATCAGAACTATTGTGAAATTTCTTTGCTCTGTTAAACATCATTTGGAAAATATTTAAAAAGAAATTTGAAGGGTGGCTAATAATTTTGACTTCAACTTTATGTGTTTTCTTAACTTGCAAATAGTTTAAGCTCTCTTAGCCAATTAAGACAATACTCTGGTTAAGAGTCTTGCATGTAAACAGCAATTTTTGATTAAGTTAATCTGATTGAGGTCATAATCGAATTAAACAGACATCAAATTAAGACATGTGGAGAATGTTGATTTTAGTCATGTTATTGAAGTGCAGTACAGACATGTAAACACCTTAATCAAACTATTACCGTCATGTAGAATATCGCCACATTCTGTGACAGGATAGTCTATACACACACGGCTGTTTGACACTATTCTCTGCATCTTCAGAGTCAGTGAAGGAACACAGACACAGAAGTTTTTTCCCATGTGGCATGTGGTATTATTATATTTCATTAAATCTACACTCTTCCAGCAGGTCATACTCGCATCCAATATCTTGTTTGTCACAGGGGGTGCATGAAATGTTCCTGAATGTAAGTGCAAGTGCCAAACTGCAGTAAGAGTAGACAAATAAAAAAAAACACATGAAAAAAATGTGATATGAAACTGACACAAAATGACATAAATCTTAAGAGAAAACGTGGATAGTGTGGTGATGCAAAGAACCTTAATCGAATTATGTGCTATAACATGTAAAACGGGATTATGAAAGGAACATTCAAAAAGCAACTCATATAAACACCTAAATCATATTATTTTCTTCTTCAGATTAAGGTAAATAATTAAATTACTAATGCCCATGTAAATGTAGTCACTGATAGTTACTAATCTGGTTATAATTTGGTAGATACAGCTGTTCTGTTAAAATCTTTCCAGATTTAGCATTGCTGTTCCTCATATTTGAATGTTTTTGTATGTGTGTTCTAGATGACAGTGCCTCGGCAACGAGTAGTATGGAGGTGACAGACAGGATCGCCTCTCTGGAGCAAAGGGTTCAGATGCAGGAGGATGAAATTCAGCTGCTAAAGTCAGCGCTGGCTGATGTGGTGAGGAGATTGAACATCTCAGAGGAGCAGCAAGCCATGCTCAACAAGAAAGGACCAACCAAAGGTACCATACATGTCTTTCACAAAAGAAAATCTTAGAGGTTCCAGATTGCACTGTTTATTTTCACTCACCAGCAACTTTATGAGGGCATTACCAAGGTAGACCCTCTTTTGGCTTCTTTTAGCCCTTTTTTACTAGCAAAGCTTAATATATTCCTTATGAATGCAGGACTCTTATTTTGAAAATGGGACAGGAATTAGCTCTGGGTTAAGTCAACACAAGAGCATACCTGATCTGTTCACAGCTCATCAAAATGTGAAACCTGGGAAAGATGGATTGAAAATTTCATACCTATTAACCCTCCTGTTTTTCCCAGGATTATACCATATTTTACAGTTCGAGTTTTAGGTTGCTGAAAGAATCCTTTGCCCCTTTGTTTTTTCCAGCTTTTCCTTTGTTATTTTGTGCTTTACTCTCACTTTCATTCTGTCCATTTCTGAAAGGACTGGATGTCAGAAGAATGGTTCTTCATGTCTCGAATTTTCATTGCCAAGTTTAAGCCAAGTGTAATGTTTTTTTTTTTTTTTTTGTATTTGGAATTTCCCCAGCCAATCGCAGAACCCAGGGGACCAGAGTGAGTGCTCCGACTTGGGCTCTCTCTGGTCTCCTTTGTTTTTATTTTCCTGCTTGTCCATAAGCTAGTGACGTATCTCTGTAAACCAATAGCTTTTAGCTGCACATCTTGTTCCACCTTTTGGTTCTTTTTGTTTATACTAGGTACCCTCCCGAAAGGGTACCCAAAAAGTGGTATTATACGGTCCGCTTTTAGGTAACTTTTAACAGTGGAAATGGCCATAAAAGTCTACCAAACTGTACCATACCTCTCCGTGGAAACGGGCCATAAATGTACAAAGTAGCTGCCATGAGACTAGCTGATTCAGTATTTGCATTAACAAGCAGTTGAACAGATCTGCCTATTAAAGTTGCTGGTGATGTGTATATGTGGTATATTTCAGCTTGCTATTATTCCTCAACAGCTTTGCTAGAATCTTAAGTGTTTGCATCACATACAGTTCTCTACTGAGAATTGTGCCATTTCTTGTTTTCATATCCATCCCATCCATGCTGCAGCTTTAGTGTTTACCCCTATTGCTGTTCGTTCCATATATCTTCTCTGCTTTCCTGTCCTCCTATTTCCTGTTCTCTCATACTGTGAGTGTGTTCAGAAGCAGCAGTGAGGAGATGCTCTCCCTCCTCTGACAGCAGTGTTGGGAAGTCAGGTATGCGCTGGGGTTCATGTCTCACTTGTCAGGAGTTACTCACTAATACAGAGAGCAGCATTCAATCATGCCACTGGAAGTTTGTTTTGACTGCATCAGAAATGCATGAACAATAAGGACTGGATTTTCACTTAGGGATGCACTAATAGAAATTTTAGCTCCACTGACATTTTTTAAGTTGCAATAATTTTACTAGTAATTCCACTTAAATTAAAAAAAATAAACTTATGCAGTTGAAGTCAATATTATATAATTATTTGTAAAGCAACATTTTCCAAGTGCTGTTTGTTTTTTAACACATTTTTAAACATAATAGTTTTTGATACTTTATTTCTAGTAAGTAATTTATTTAGCCTTTGCCCATGATTACATTGCATAATATTTATTAGGTTTTTTGCAATATACTAGTGTTCAGCTTAAAATGTAAAGACTTAACAAGGTTTATTTGGCAATTAAATAGGTTAAGTTAGGTTAATTAAGTAAGTCTTTAAAAACAGGGGTTTGTTCTGCAGCCAATCGGGGAAACATCATTTCTGCTAATAATATAGTATATACTTTACAATTTCTATTTTATTTTAAGACCTCCAGCCAAACTAAAAGAAAAAAATATTACAGAAAATACTGTGAAAAATGCCTTTGCTCTGTTAAAGATCTCTTGGAAAATATTTGTAATACACATTTCACAGGAGGGCTAATAATTTTGCCTTCAACTGTATAGAAATAAATCAGTTTAAATGTTGGCATGACTTGCTGATCATATATTTTTGTATTGCTAGTCCATACTAAATGTGTGTCATCTTAAATTTTAATCAGATATTTTGTTTGTTTATTGTTTCTAAGATAAGCATGCTGATACACTGTGTATTCATCAATATGCAAAGCAGATGTTGTAAGTTCCAGTCTGATATTTATTCACATGCTGTTATACAAAGCAAGTATTTGAGTGACTCCATTTGTTACTTAAACGATCAAGATCATTGAATAAATCATGAGTTTTGTAACAAAGGCGCTTAATGCTTGATCTACTGACTTTCATTAGAGATGCTCAATTTAGTTCCTACCAGATTTGTTTCAAATGTACTGAAATTAATTTATTCATTATTGCATTTAACCCTAGTTGAATGATTTTTGTGTTTTGGATCATAACCATTATGATTTAACAGTAAATGTATTATATCAAAAACTTTTTCATTTAAAAACCATTTGAAATATATTTATTTTGAGGGATAGCTCATAAAAAAAAAATTTTATTGTATAAATATTTACTCACCTTTATGTTTCTAACTAGTATGCCTTTCTTTCTTCTGTGGAATGTAAAATAATATATTTTGGTACAAAATTGTGCTAACCAAATGTTTAATTTCCATTAATTTTTTGTTGTATAAACAAAAGTCATTTGGGAAATAAAATGACACTGTTTGGTTTAAACATTGCTTTAAAATATCTAATTTGTGATCATTAGAAAGTGAGGAGCAGGGGTTTCAAACTGCCGGCCCGCGGGCCATTTGTCGCCCCCCTTCGGCCCGCAACTGACATCAAAATGTAACGAGATTCGGCTCAACGAAACATATATTTTTGAATAACTATCATTCATTGTTGTGCAGTGGCATATACGCTTCTGGTTGGATCAGGGTGGGGCCAAGTTTGTAGCACTCACTCTGATCCCCCGAGCTCTGCCAGGGTTGTGGAAATTTCAAATTGAACCAAAACAAATGATTACAATTGGCAAGAAAAATTCGGCACATGTGTCAATCAGCAGAACTTGGGAAGTTAAAAAAATACACTTCTGGTTTGGACCCTCACCTACTGGACATTTAAGGTACTGTACTATATATTCGGGTTACTTTCGGTTTCTCTAAGTAACACACATGCAGATTGTTTCTGGGCCTGACTCAAACGTTGAAATATATGTCTCTATTTTTGTAAATATTCAAAGGTCGTTTGATTATAATCAGTTTTATACAACCTATATTTTGTTGTAAAAACACCTCTTCATGGCTTACACGTTATGCTGGTTGTGCAAAGATGATAATTTTGCTAATATTAGATTTAAATAGTCTCGTTAATAGATTTTCCTCATATGCATATTAAGATTTGTATAAAAATGTGCATTAGAAAATTTTTACAGCTGGCTAAATTGAACATGTTTAAGTAAATGTGAATATATACATACTGTTCCCGTCTTTGTTGTAGTTTTACAACAAAAGAATGATATTGAGAAGAACAATTGCCAGTAAAGTCAATAAAGTTACCCAAACTGCATTCTGCTGCCTTACACAATCTGTTAAACTTTTGGTTAAGCAACAATTGATTTGGACATAATAATTCTTATTATTATGCCTATTAATAATTTGTAGTATTTTCATAAAAATTTAAACTACCCCTTCAATATGTACAAGAAGGAAAAAGAAAAAGCTGTAATATTCAGGGGAAGAGTGTCTGAGTGCATCAGTTACATCAGATTTCCATTTTTTGTTGTGCTTAAATGTTAAAACAGCCCTCCTATGAACTATCAGTGACTGCTATGGCCTCCCGCCAATTTGAGTTTGAGACCCCTGCTCAGAAGCATTATGAGGATGAGTAAATCATAAAATGAGTAGATTTTTGTGGACTGTCACTTTAGGTGAAAATTTATGTGGGAATTATAAACTTAAGTCATGGATGTAACTATCAGAAAATTGTTGACTGTTTTTTAAGCAATTTATTGAATCTGTTTTATCTTTCTGCATTTTAGCTTACAGTACTCTGATTCTGTCAAATAAGAACAGGTTGAGTAACCATGTGAAGGTGGCAGGCAAGAATGACAGTTTTAACCAAACTGGTCCAATGGCAATTTACTGTAACTATGTTGTAAAGAAAGCTCAGGGTATCTTTTGTACCCCGGATCAGTCAGTGTACTTTGTATTCAGCAGCAGCCATCAGGATGTCTTTAGAGTTCCTGCAGGACAAACAGAATTAGAAATTCTTTTATTATGGTGGCCATTAGGTCATTAAATGAGTCCAGCAGCGAGGGAGATACATCTAAAAATTTGTATTTTATGTTTTGTGGTAATTTGTTTTGTGGCCTGTGTGTTATGGCATTTTGCTGTCATTTTAGTTTCCCTAAACGAGATTATAAAGTTGAGTCTGAGTTTGAAAAGAAATACATAATTGATAAAGTGAACAAGAGCTCTTAAACTTGCCTCAGGAAAAGAGTGGAACTTACTGCATCCAATTAAAACACATACATATTAGCTGATTCCTTGTGATGGTTGATATACTGTGCATCCCTGATTTCTCTCCAGCATGTGTGACATAAAGCCCTGACATGTGTTTAGAGAGTTTAGTGAGATTAACACTGTAAACATGCTGCTTAAACATGCCTAATTACATAATGCTAACTGACAAATCTAACAGACTGCATCCATATTGTAAAATCCATCAGAAGTGAACCTAGAATGTGCTTCATTTTGGAGATGAAAAGAGGCTCATTTCCTTAAGTGTATTGATTTTTTGGTGATTGTTTAACAAAGCTTTCCTTAATCCACATAATCCTTTGAACTGTAGGAAAGGGTGTGTAATTAGAGTCACATTTCTTTACCATGTCTGAGATTTTAAAAGATTTTCTGCTTTGCTTATTAGCCGCAATGCACAAAATTGCGCTTCCAAATGTCAACCTGGGGTCTGAAGCTCCACCATTAAACTGTTAAAGAAGCACTCATTTTCGCAGTGCTTTGACTCACTTTATCAGTTCCTCTGCCCGTTTGAAGTGTATGCAAAATGAGTCATGCTTTGTTTCCGCATAATCCTTGCTGCTCCATGCAGGCTGATCTCTTTGAAACAAAAAAATCCTGCTCCATTTCTTACTGGCGCTTTTGCCTCATTCTTTCTTTTATTTTTTCTGCTCTATCTCTGTGCCGCTGCCTACACATTTATCACACATCCGAGAAACCCTGCTGTGATGAATATTTAATCATGCAGACTCGTAGGGTAATGTAAATAAAGGCCTTCCAAAATCTTTTCCATCAGCAGTTAGTTAGACTGCAGGTGTGAGTTGCACAAAGGGATATTCACTATCCCAAGACTTTTGCAAACCACAAATGTATTTTAATGAAAGCAGGAGAAACATACTCTATAATTCTGTGGTCATGGGTTTATTCCGGATCTTTCTGTATAGATTGAATTTGACATCTGGAAATGTATACCATGTCGTCTGTTAAATATTTAATACATACACCTCCATGCACAAGTTTGGGCGCAGTAAATTCTTGCTGGTAGATATTAATAGATTTATTCGGCAAATACTAATTAAATAGGTCAGATAATAACTGCAAGTGCATATAAAAAATGTTAACATTCTTATAACATTGTTACGCTTTTCAAATAAGAGATGTTCTTTTGAGCATTCTATCAATCTTTCTATTTATAAATATGCCACAGCCATATTACCCTGTAGCCCAAGACCGTTTACTCACTGAAGCTAAGATGGGCTGAGCCTGTTCAGTACCTGCATGGGAGACAACATGGGAAAAGTAGGTTGCTGTTGGAATTGGTGTTAATGAGGCTAGCAGAGGGTGCTCAACCTGTAAGTTGTAATGCCCCAGTATAGTGAAGGGGACATTATACTGTCAGTGAGCACCCTCTTTTGGATGAGGTGTTAAACTGAGGTCCTGACTCTCTGTGATCATCAAAAATCCCATGGCACTTTTTGTAAAGAGTAGGGGTGTAATCCCTGGTGTCCTGGCCAAATTCTTCCCATCGGCCATTACCGATCATGGGGGTCGCCAAAGCGAAATGAACCTCCAACTTATTCAGCATATGTTTTACACAGCAGATGTTCTTCCAGCGGCAATCCAGTACTGGGAAACATCCATACACACACATACACTACAGCCAATTTAGTTTATTCAATTCACCTATAGCGCATGTGTTTGGACTGTGGGGGAAACCCACGTGAACATGAGGAGAACATAGAAACTTGATACAGAAATTCCAACGGTCCCAGCCAATGCTCGAACCAGTGACCTTCTTTCTGTGAGGCGACAGTGCTAACCACTGAGCCACTGTTTCACCCCTCAAAGATATATTATATTTTGAAAAATAGACCAAGAGTAGTTATGACTCATCCTGCAATACAAAGATTGTTGTTCAATCAGATGCTATCTAGAGTAAGAATGTCCCTCCCTCTATACCATATTCAACTAAGTAGCATCAAATGATAATTTATAACTATAGCTGTGTCTCATATCAGAGGCTGCATCCTCTGAAGGATGCATTCGAAGGGTGCTGCGTCATCGAATACCATCTTATTTAAAATTAAAAAAAGGCTTTTCCGAATGCAGCCTCAAAATGCGTCCTTTGTTTGCCTTCAATGACGCAACTGGTGGATCCTTTGTGATCTTGAAAGTCCCCAGATTCATTGCGTGCTGATAATGGCAGGATGTTTTTAAAATAAAACACTGCATTACAGTTTTAAATATATGAATTAGGTTTTTTTTTTACTTTAATATCTAAACACGTCATGTAAAAAAACAAAGAGTATGAAATGTCTTACTAAAAAGTGATTTTAGAGACGCTTACATTTTTGTCTGTACATATATGGATCAAAAGGAATGTATTTCCAGATTTTGAAAACTTTGTTCTGCCTTCAGATTGCTTAATATAAGTTTTAAATTCACTTTGAGCAAAAGTCAATTATTAATTGTATTAATGCTCATTAACAGCTGCTGTTATGGTGGCTATGTGAGGAGATCTGTCCTCTGTAGGCTAGACTGTCTCATTTCAAAACGCTCGATTTGACCTGTGTGGACTTCGAAGGACTCAGCTTGGAAGTTTACTTCCTTTGGAGGATGCAGCCTTTGAAATGAAACACAGCCTAATAGTCTATGATGTAACCATACAAATTGTCCATTTAAAACAAAACAAGTCTTTAAAACATCTATCTGTGTGACCTGTTTAAATCTCCTATTTCAATAAGAAAATCATCAACTCAACTGAAAATTTCTATTTCATGGGGTCTATGAGAATCTAAATTCACTATTAAATATTTTTGTCAAATATCTTTCAAGTGCAGTGCTGTTAATAATTCTGGCTATGTGTCTTGTCATCTTTCAGCAAGACCAATGATCGCAGCCCTGCCCCTGAGACCCACGGTCAACAACGGTACTGTCCTGCCTAAGAAGGGTGGCACACTGCCATCACCCTCCAACTGCAAGAAGGACAACAACTCACCAGCAACCAGAAGGTAAGACTCTTAGAGCTGGAATACTGTGTGACATTAGTCCAGATTTCAATCCAGATTAGCAGTCTGGACAACTTGATGCTATTTGCAGAAACTCTAAGCTAGTCTGCTCAATAGAGTTAGCAGATTTCACAGAATCTGACAAATATTTTTTATTTATTTGGAGGATATGAAAATAGTTTCTTAGTATTTCCTGTTGAGAGTTGATATGAAATACTGTTGTCTGTATTGTTTTGCTGTACAGTGCTGGATCACCTTTAGCACAATAGTGAGACTCTTCTAGTGCATTTAAATACACAAGATAACAGTGCAGGGTTTTGTCTTTTGAAGGTCAGCTAATGTTTTTTTTTATCAGTTTATGATAAGCAAACAAAGAAAACCAGCCATTTACAGATATTCAAAATGTGATACAGGATGCAGTGCTGTACAACTTATATGCTAAAAAACAAGCCATTGGAATTTCTTTTTTTTAAATGTGACTTCACATCTCGCAATTTCTTGTAATTGCGGTTTAATACTACAGAGATTTTATTTTAAATTCCTGCTTTATTGTCTGTTCAAAGGTTTAAGAATAGTAGGATTTTTGATTGGTTTAATAGATTTTATTGTTTTATTTATGCTTAACAAGGTTGATGTTACTTGTTTAAAAATACTGGAGAAAAACTTATGATGGCTTCCACAAAAAATAATCGCCATTAATAATAGGATTTTTTTTCCCTGGGTATATGTTGGTAAAAAAAAAAATGTTTGACAACACAGGAATACATAAAAAAATTTAAAAAAATAAATAAATAAAAAACTTTTTACAGTCATTGGGCTCTAACAATCTAGGCACAAAGTCTAAAGCACATGGTGCAAAAGCAATAAGGGTGTGTCTGAATCCACTTTTGCTATTTTAAGGATGGAAAAATACAGTTATGGGTGTGTTTTGAGCATAATGTGCATTAAACCAATCAAAGTCTCATCTCACATTCCCTTTAAGAGTCAGTTGTGTCGCGTCATGGCGCATTTGCTATTTAAATGGCAGAATTGGTAAGTGGAAAAACTGAAGACTTCACTAGCAAAAAACAGTTAAACAGACCATCTGCAGCGCAAGGATAAAGAAGGAGCCTCCTCCATTTGCCCTCTTTACTTTCTCTTTACTTTACTTTTACTCTTTGCTCATTTACGTTCGTGGATAAGGAAACGGGGTTGTATGCACTCCACTGAAGACATTTAATTTTATTTGTTAAGTGCAAAAATTTGTTTCAAAACAATTTTTAAATTCAGTTTTAATTTCTAGCAAACAAATAAATGAACAATAATAAAGAAGTGTGTGAGTTATATTCAAAGACACGTCCTATTCTTATGCCCCGTATGATGATGCATACATCTCCAAAACCCAACAGTTGGACAAATCTAAGCTTGTTTTTATTCAAACAAATATAAATAAGCATATAATGAATAATAATACTAATAATAATAACATTATACAAATGCAAATTGAATAAACTGAAAAAGCCCCCTCAGGTGAAGAAGGCATAGAGGCAGTGTTTTTAATATTTATGTAGAGAGTAATGATTTTTGTAACATTTTAATCCTTTAATTTTTTTAATGTAAAGATATTTGTGTATTGCTGTACATCGTGTGTTTTAAACAATGTGTAAGCTTTTGGACCTGCATAGATGCATAACTAATGCGCTCTTCACTGGACTTAACAATTTCAGGTAATCAAAATAGCAATGCAACAAAAATGTACCTTAACAGCACTGCCTTTTTAGATCGAAACACCCATGGGTCCACAAAGTGGCGGTAATGGATTCGCCATTGAAACAACGTAGTGTAAAATGTGAAATTTAGGGTTGCGCTGGTCTGAAAATAGCGACAAATCGCGGCAAACGCGTCTTGCAGCAGGTGTATGGTAGGGCCCTTTGTGCGTTAAAATTTTTACTATCATGCTCAAGAAAAAAATCTTTAAAAAAAAACTAATTGCTATTATTATTATATTTATGGATTCTAGTATTCTTTAAAAATGCTTCTGCAATCCAGGTCTCTTCAGAAACAAACACAGTCACTCTCCAGCTGTGCAATGTTTTTTTTTTAGTTTAATAAGTGAACACATCATGCTGAAGAATTAATGAATGAACCAGATACGTTTATGATTATGAGACGCCAACCCAGCTGCTTTCCCCAAAGTGTCTTTGTTTGTGTGTGTTTGTCATCCTGTGAGACCTCTTATGTCTGTTGCATGTTCTACACTTTCCCATCTGCCCAGATTTCTTCTAAAGCTACCCTACAGGTGAGCGTTTTTTCCCCCTTAAGCATCTGAAATCTCCTCAAAAGTGCTGTGGTCTAGTGATACACTTGATAATAAAATGCTAAAGGCTCTGTTTTCAAACCATCATTCAGAGCTGTTTTGGGATCCCACAGGAAGCCCCATTGCACGGGGAGATAAGCTTGCTTTAATTTTTGTGAACTATTTTTTTTAAGCTTCTCTTCTTTCATACAGCCTGTAAAGCTTCTTTTCCCATCATGCCTTGAAGCGAGAGCCCTGTGCTGTCCATAGACTAACTCTATACCCGCTTGCTTTCATGCCTGAAGTGCTATTATTCACAAAAGCAGGGAGATCCTGCAGGCTTTTTAACACGGGATAACAACACCATCCGCCAATGGCTGGGCCAGATGAACTTTAGCCTCGCAGTCTGGATTAGACTTGAGCCTGGCAACCAGTGGACTGCTGATGGGCTCTTTTCTTTTGTTGACAACTTTTAAAGGGCACCCAGTCTCAATTCAGCCCTGTCTGATGCACAAAGACACAGCAGATGAGGGCCTAAACGTGTCATGGAGGAACAAGCGCAACAAATGAAATTCATTTCTTCTAGCATATGTAATGTTTGTTGGTCTCGTGTGTGTTTGCTGTGTGTCTTTGGGGCAGGTTGGTCCGGGTGTCCATTTTTACCAGCTGGGATGTTGCCAGTATTATCTCAGCAGTGCCATTTCCTTTTTTTTCTGTTTAAATGTTGACATTTAGTCTCCCTTTTTGAAGTACAACCTATTGTAGGGAAATTAGGTTTTGTAAAAGATAGTATATGTCTATAAACAGGCACAATATTGCAATCTAATGCATGAAGTTTGGAAGTAAATTTTATTCAAATGTCTAATATGTTTTGTAGTTTGTTTATAAGGCAGTTTAAATCTTTTAAAAATCAAACCAACAAAGTTAAACTTTTGTTTAAAATAAATGAACACTATTTAAAATGAAGAATTTTACAATTAAATGTATTGTTTGAAACATGGATCACACTACATTTTAAGTGTTTGTGTCACTTGTTCCATGTATTTACTATAATATTAGCATTTAATTATGCATTTATCTACATGCAACTTATCCTAAACTTTACCCACGCTCTAACTCTAGCCATATAGTAAGTACACTATTTTAGTAAGTACATAATTATTTATATTTTTCAGTAATTATGTGAATTATTAGGTGAACGTTAAAATAATCTGTAATCAAAACATGTATTCATAAAATAATAAAAGTTCAAAAGTATTGCTCTTTCCTCCTAAATATGAAGTAGCATTAATGAACATTGATAGTACATTGATAGTCTTTGAATGAATCATCATATATTTTATCATATATAATAATTTTTTCCATGCATTCAAAACAGATACTTGTAACTTCTGACATGTTTCTCACCGCTAGGCACATGAATTGGAAACTTGGGAGTACAGAAAAACCATATTTCCTCACTTGAGCATTCATTCATATGTTTATGTGTTCAACTTGTTAAAACAAATTTTGTCACAAGGTGTAGTGCATTTTTATACACAAAGAATAAGGAATCAACTGCTGAAATCAAGTTGACACAAAACCTATGAAACCTATAATAACAAACATATGGTGGGAAAACTGAGATCAAAAAGAAAGGACTTCATCTGAAATCACATACATTTCCACTATATTGTTGTTGAAAAACAGTATGTCTGAATTCAAAAAGTAGACAAAAGTACAACAATGTACATATAGTATGTCCAGATTACATTCATGTTACCCAAGTTCAAAAATAAATCCAAAAATCATTAGAATATTATGCAGAGGTCATCTTCCATGAAAGCATTTTTTAAATTTCTCTCTATAAAAATTCCACTTTTGATTAGTAACATACATTGCTTAAAGTAATTTTCTCAAATTGTAGATTTTGTTAATCCCCTAATTCCAAATTTTCAAGTAGTGGTGTCCCAGACAAATATAGTCTTATCCTAACAAACCTATCACATACATCAATAAAAAGCTTATTTATTCAGCTTTCATGTGATTTTAAAAAATGGACCATTTTGACACATACACATACACACAAAAGGTCAGAACTTTTAAAAATATTTTAAAAATAAGCTTATCCAATGGTAAAAGTAGTTTATAAATTAATTTAACAATTTATTCCAGTGATTTTGATGATGAACTTTCAGCTTCATTACTCCAGTCTTCAGTTACATGATCCTTCAGAAATCACATTATTATTATTATTATTATTATTATTATTATTATTATTAATAGTAATAAAGGCAATAATGACTGGAGTGATAATTTCACTTAAAACTACATACAATAAGAAAGCAGTTTTTTATTTTTATAAATATTTAACAATTTGAAAATTTTTAACATTTAGTGAATCCTGACTTGATGAACAGAATCATTTTCTTTAAAAAGAACGCATGAAACTTTTGACCTGTAGTGTATATATGTTATAGATTGTAATTTAATTTTGGATTCGGCCTAGGTCAAACTAAACTAGGTCAGCACACAACCAACCAAATACCTTACAAATGTGACTAATCATTTTATTTTATCATCCACAGCACTGTGAAGAGAACAAGTTCATCTGAGCATGTCGGTCCAAACAACAGGAAGGACAGTGGTGTGGACTCCAAAAACAACCGCACACGCGCCGGGTCCACTGGGAGCAATTCCAGCGGCAAGAAAACCACAGAAACGTATGGGAATAAAATCAACTACATTAATTAAAAACAATTAATTAATAACTTTCCTTTTTGGCTCAACCTCATTGTAATGTGTTTCCTCTCTGTCATCCTACAGCAAGCAGAGAGAGCCTGTTTTCAGTGCAGGTAAGTGTCTGGTGTGCTGTTCACTTCTAATAGAGTTTGTGTGTCTCTGAACCAAGACTGGAAGAGCTGCAAATAAAGCAATGTTTTTTTTCAGTCATTGGAAGTTTCAGAAAGTACAGACTCTTGCCAAGAGGATGTGCTTAAAATAAATGGCTGACCGCCCAGAAGTTCTTTTGTTTAGATGAAATGCAGCTCAATTAGTAGGTGGACAGATGTTACTGTGGGATAGTGGTGAATTGAGGCATAATCAATTTCAAGAAAGCCGAATTCATCTTGTGCACTGTCCAGTCGTGGCTCATGAAGGTCATTGTCGTGAAATTGCTGGATGTGCATTCACTGTTTCAGTTTATTTCACCTATCGCTATTTATTTTTTTCCCATCATCAACACCAAAAATGGTTTTTCTTCTCATTTTTTTGTTTGTATAAGTTTACCTAATTGTATTATTATTATTTTGGTTATTAATATTGCTATTATTAATTACTATTATAATATAATTAATACAATTTAATAGGGCTGAACAATCTATCGTTTGAGCATCGACATCGCAAAGTGTGTGTCTGTAATAGTCACAATGCAGGATTAGATTCTTTATTAAAGACTAAAACATAAAGATATTATTAATTATTATTATTTTTTTAATAATTTATACAATATTGACCATGTTATTTAACATTTTAATGGTTCAGTTTCTGTACATAAATATTGTTAGTATATATATATAAAGCACTGTTTATTTATTAATTTTTGCATTTAAATTATTATCATTTATTCAGGTGCGCTGTATAGAAAGAGACTTTGTCATCCCTGTTGATCTAAACTTATGAAATCTTCCAAAAAAATAGCTATACAAATCATCTAGTGAAATTATATTCATATGGCAATATACAGTTGAAGTCAGAATTATCAGCCCCACTGTTTATTTTTTCCCCCAATTTCAGTTTAACAGAGAGAAGACTTTATCAACACATTTCTAAATATAATAGTTTTAATAACTCATCTCTAATATTTGATTTATTTTATCTTTGCCATGATGATAGTAAATGATATTTGACTAGATATTTTTCAAGACACTTTTATACAGCTTAAAGTGACATTTAAAGGCTTAACTGGGTAATTAACTAGGGTTAACTAGGCAAGTTACAGTAATTAGACAAGTTATTATATAACAATGGTTTGTTCTGATAATTTTGACCTTAAAATGTTATTTATTTATTTATTTATTTATTTTTTTTATAAAACATATAAGACTTTCTCCAGAAGAAAAAAATATTATCAGACATACTGTGAAAATTTCCTTGCTCTCTTAAACATAATTTGGAAAATATTTTAAAAAGAACAAAAAATTCTAAGGGGGGGTAATAATCCTGACTTCAACTGCATATTGTGGCAAAACAAAATACCTAATGTTAGATGTTTCCTATATCATACAGTCCTACAATATAATATAATATGTAAAAAATAATATAAATACATTCTTTTTTGCATTTTTAAAACTGTTAATTTGTTAACTGAGCTAGACATATAATATAATATAATATAATATAATATAATATAATATAATATAACATAACATAACATAACATAACATAACATAACATAACATAACATAATATAATATAATATAATATAATATAATATAATATAATATAATATAATATAATATAATATAATTTAACATTTTACTTTTTTCTACATATAACATACATACAGGTCTTAAGCAAAGAAATCACACCATCTATTCCTCTATTATACATCAAAACAGTTTTGGTCAGGGGCTTCTCAGGCTTTATTTTTGGAAAAGAATAGAAAGGAATTGAGCCGCAGTTATTGAGATTGTCAGAACGGATTTGATCTGGTGTTGGTGTACAAGCAGAGCGTTCTGTCTGTGCAGAATAAAACAAGCTCTTCTTCCTGAAGGCAACATCTGCATGTTCCTTACTGTACATTTGACCCAGTTACTCTATTTAACTGTCCTAAAACACTGAAGGCGAGACACTGCAGGAGAAATAGGGAAAAATAACTAACCATATTTCCCCATCACTTAATTAGTTTTTTGCATAGTTTGCATTGTTTTCTAAAATTTACTATTTAAATATGCAAATAGATCATTATTAAATTAAAGTTGCTATCATTGACATACATGTCCTGAATTTTGCATGAAGTCGGGTTCAAAATGCCTTGTTTTGGGAATCTCTTTTCATAAGTCTATAATACAGAAAAATAATGTGATCAGTCAAACAAAAGTACATTTTCATTTTTTTTTTTTTTTGCAAACATATCCCTCTGTAAAAACCAAATGATGTTTGTTGTGAGTAAGTGCTTTAAAATTAAGATTTATGGTTCAGTGCAGGAAAAGAAAACTCATTTTGAGAACAGCCTTAAAAACATGAACTGTAATTTAAATCTGCAGACACAATTGGATGAAGTGCAATAAAAGAAAATTTAGAGTGGATTTTCAATGCTTTCTTTCCATTATGCTGATAACACACGGGTCAACTTTTTGAGCAATGTTACTGGGCAACCTTGGGAAATGATGCCATAAATGGCCAACAAAGTGAGACACAGGGCAATTAATTAGGGCAATGGATTACAGATACAATATCGTTGCCCATTTGAAATAGGAAAATAATTAAGCAACATTGCTCTGAAAAATTACCTGGCAAAAATGCTCAAAATGTTGCTGTGTGTATAACCACATAAGACTTTATGAAGAGCCACTTCATGAAAAGCCAAAAAGCCAGCAATCTCAAAATCGACAGCTGCAAGAAAAGTTTTTATCTGCAGTGTCTCAGCCTTAAATACAACAGTTCCACAAGTTAAAATTGTATATAGTAGGATAGGAAATGAACCAGCAGCAGGTTTGCTGGTGAATGAAACGAGTCTCCTGGAAGAGTTTGTAGAGTGATTTCTCAGATCTGTCAGTCTGTGATCTTGAGCAGAGATCTGCTTTTCCTTCAGTCGTCTTTTGTCATCTTACGTCACTGTCTCTGTCTCTGTACGTTCATGAAGGGATGCGACGTGTGACACACTGCAAAGGTAGGCACTGTTTGTCAACTGACGCTTGCGTGAGCTACTCTGTGGACTTAAAATTCATTAAATAAAATAATTATATATTGACAGTAATAACATATCAGCATACTAATGTGAATACAGCTGGCAGACAAAGAATCAGTATTTAACTGCCAGATATATTGGAGTTTCTAAGTCATTTCTCTTTAAAGACCGCATGAAATCACCTATTAGTTTTCATATATATTTGTGTTTTAAGATGAGATCTCATTGATGAGACCTTTGCAGAATCATGACTGTGTGTCAGCGTCAGTAAACTACCTAAAATATCAGATATATTTACCTTTTTATTACAAGCTTAGTGTTGATAAGAAGTGTACAACTGTATTTGTGCATTAACAATTGTGAATATAGTAAAGTTTATTATTAATATTTAATTGTATTATTATTTATTTGAAAATATTTTGAAAGTAATAATAACAATGTTATTACTATTAATGCTTTTTAGTCATTTAAATGAAAACTTGGTTGTAGTCTTTGTATTTTGTATGACACCTAATTACGGAGACACGGAAGGGACGTGATGGTGGAGAAAAAAATGGGTGGAAGAAAAAAAACTAGGTGGGAGAAAAAAAAACTTGGGGAGGGGGGAATAAAAATTGGTGGGAGAAAAAACCTGAGTGATAGGAAAATTATGTTTTAAAAGTTTTTGTATTCCCTCGCAAAACTGTTTTCCGCAAACACTTCCTGTTCACTTCAACATCTCAACCCTCTTGTTTTTTGCTGGGATTCTGTCATATTTTACCATTCTATCCCGCCATCATCCTATCATTAGTGTAAGTATTTTCCCACATTTCTTAAAAGAACGCTAAAATGAATATAAAAATTTCTTCATTCACTTTCTTTCCATTAAAGCTGTGCGCCGATCATCGGCCTTCATATAAAACCTCTGAATCAGCGAATGCATGTATAAGCGCAGACAGACTCGTTCCGTATTATAAACTGATCCCTGATCAGCTCTGTACACCCCATTTAAGAGGAGCGAAAGAGCAGGACACTTTGGGATTCGGTGTGTGTTTAAACAGACAAATACACTTAATAATATGTAAACAGGTCCGTCCTGTGTGTTTTATTTTAAACAACAAATTTTCTCTTAAATGAGCACAAACAGTCACTAAAGTAATGCTTTCATTATAGATCTGTGCATTCTTAATGTGGCACCTCTGTTATCAAACAAGACAAAACAAAAGCAACATTTGCTTCTCTTCACTTGTTTGATAGCATAGGTGTCACTTTAAATGGTGTGTACAGAAGCTGATCTGGGATCAGTTTACCATATGGAGCATCTATACAATACATGCATTCACTGATTCAGAGGTTGCATATGAAGGTCGATGATTGACGCACAACTTTAATAGAAAAAGAAGTGAATGCAGACACTTTTATGCTAATTTCAGCGTGTTTTCAGATTCAAAGTATTCCAGAAATATGGTAAAATACAGCAGGATAAAATGGTAAAATATGGGAGAATCTCAGCAAAAAACGGGAGGGTTGACTTGTATGAAGTGAACAGGAAGTTTTTGTGCAATAACAGTTTTGCGAGGGAATGCAAAAACTTAAAAGTAAATATTTTCCTGTTTTTTTTCTCCCACCCAGTTTTTTTTCTTTTTCACCCATTTTTTCCCCTCACCATCACGTCCCTTCTGGGTCTCGATACTACAGGGTCTCCAATAAACCTAAAATAATTTTTTTAAATTATATTTTAATAATCATTAAGTAAAGATCATGTTTCATGCAGATATTTGTAACATTTTTTGCTATAAATATATTAAAATATAATTTTTTATTATTTATTAGTAACATGCATTTCTAAGTACTTTTTTTTAAAAACAACGTTAAATGCAGTTTTCTTAATGTTTAGTTTTTTTGGACCCTCATATTTCAGATGTTTACATAATTGTATCGCAGCAAATATTGTCTTATCCTAATAAATCAGTGGAAAGATCTTGTATAATTCTCAGCTTCCAAAAAAAATACCTTTATGAGTGGTTTTGTCACAAATTAAGTTTTTTGTTTAGCACAAATCTTTGATTTCAGTTGGTCTTTAAGATACTTTTCCTTTACATTTGTTTCCTTTATATTTGTCTGTTTCTACTTAAAAAATTAAATAACGTCCCTCTACACAGTTAACACTGATCTTCCAGTGACTCCAGATGGTACAATAATCAGAAAAAATCAATAATCAATAAAACTCCACAGAGTCCACAGAGCAGTCTTGCATGAGGGTTGATTAGACAAATGTGTGTGTGTGTGTGTGATAGAGGCTCAAATCCTTCCTCCAGATCTACCACCTTTCCTAGTAAACGCACTGTGTGTGTGTGACAAAGAGCTGTGGTTGTTTGCAGTGGTGCTGTTTCCCTGTGACAGCTCTGGGTGTTTTGCTCACTGCTCGTGGCTCTTGTTTTTCACATTCACCACAGGGACATGACGCTCTCCTGCAGACACACAGCATCACAGTGAAAGCCTTTTACTACAGTAGTTTATTGCTGCACTTTGCCTCACACATGTTTTTGTTCTTCAGTCCACAAAGGGCATTTTTGATCCTGCATCAACAAGCTTTTCTGTTTTTTTCTCTGAAATTGGACGTTGGTGTTTATCCTAAATCACAAGTTAAATGTCACACAGGTCAAACACAAAGTATTCTTCATTGACGATGCAACAGTCGGTGAATGACGAATTTGCATTTGTTATGCAGTAGACACAAAATACTATGAACATATAAACGCAAAAATCAAAAAATGTCAGTTTGTTTCTAGAGTTCATGGTTTTCCTTTAGGAGTATCCCATGTGCCTTCTCTACCCATTGTTATCCGCACTGAAAAAATCATTTTCATAATCAGCATTTTTGTCTTTTTGGTTCAACTTACGGATTTAAATTAAGATATTTATTTTTTAGCTTATTGATAGATTTGGTTTAAAATCATGTCTTGGGTTTGCATTTAATCACTTGATCTAAATCAAGATAACACTTCAGTAGTAAAAGTTCTCTCTAAAGCAAAACATCCCAAATGTTTTGCTCAAAATTGGAAAAAAATAAAGTATTAAAGAAAATAAAAAATGCCTGAAAATTGTCACATGAGACCAGGCTTAAGCCTAGTCCTAGACTTAATATAGCATGTATGAGTAAAATAATTTGCAATGACTTAAACAAAAAATGTGTCAGTGTGATGAAATAGTTTCAAGATGCATACCAATCATATACGTCATTTATATAAAAAATTGCTTAATTACTCTATTCAGTGGTTCCCAAAGTGGGGATCAAAGTGACAATGAGGAGGTGTCGCATGCTGATATTCAAAAATATCCTATATGGTATTGAACTACTAGAATTACCATATTTTTCCATAACCTGCAAAAAATAGTATTTATAGCAAATAAAAAACCATTAGCCTTTCCATTATTTTTCCATTGGATTGCAACCCCTGGGATTATTATGCTAGATTAATGACACAGCAATAGCGTTAGTTGCAGCAGATTGATTTTACAGCTCTATGTGTCACCTTAAAGGCACTCATGTACATTAAAAATCAAGCTAACGACTGAACATAGAGGACGATTTCCAAGTCTCCAAAGATTTTCTTCAAAATTAAACCAAGAATAGGCTTGTGCTGTAAACATTGCCCACCATTTTCATTAAGTAAGGTTAATATTAAATTAAAGAAATTAATAATGACTATAAAAAATTATATGATTGCACTTTTTGTGTTGTCAATAAGCTCACATAGTTCCTGCTGGTGTGTGAGCACCATTGTGTGCAATGTTTATGGGCTCTGTTTTGACAATCCTTTGTGCCGTGGCGCATGGTCTTACTGGGTTGAACTTATTCTCTTAATGAGTTATATGTGTGTTTTGAGAATAAACCAATCAGAGTGTCATCTTACATTCCCTTAAAGAGCCAGTGCGCTGTGCCATAGTAAGTTGCAGAAGTAAGTTTCCACTTGGAAGTGGAAGAACACTTCCCTAGAGAGAAAACAGTTAAACAGAGCATCTACAGCGACAGAATAAGAGATGAGCCTCCTCATTGTTTACTTTCACTTTCACTCTCGTGGATAGGGAAGAGTGTTGTAAGCACAGACATATATTAGCCTATACATAATTGATTTTGTTTGTTAAGCGCAAATATTTGTTTCAAAACTATTTCTAAATTCAGTTCCAGCAAACAAATAAATGAACAATAATAACAACGTGTGGTCAAAAAAATGAGTTCTATCCAAATACACATACTATGCCCCATATGGTCTAAAACCTGACAGGACAAATCTAAGCTTGTTTTTAATTAAACAAATATAAATATGCATTTAATAAATAATACTGCTAATAATGATTACTGATTAAACATTTTACAAAAGCAAATTGTTATGAATAGACTGAAAAAGCTTCCAAAGATAAAGAAGGCATGAAGGCAGTGGTTTTTATATTTATGTATATTTATATTGTATTTTATATTTATAAAATAATAATTTTTGTAATAGTTTAATCCTTTATTTTTCATTTGTAAAGATATTTGCGTATTGCTGTACATTCTTTGTGTATTAAGCAAAGTTCAAGCGAGGCACACAAATAATGTGCTCTGCGCTGGACAATAGACCAGCTTTGATCTGGTCTTTTGAACCGTCTAAGTTCTCAAAATAGCAACGTGCCAGCAATGTGCCTCAACACGCCTCCTTTTTTAGACCAGAACGCCTATGGGCACACATATAAGCGCAAATGCCTTTGCTATTTAAACAGCGTGATGCAAAACATCAAAACGACTCTTGTGCCGAGCTGAAACTAGCAAACAATAATTGCGTCGTGCCTTGCGCCGGGTGTATGATAGGGCCTTGTATGTTTATAGCCACCTCCGAGTATAGTGGGGGTCCCAAATCACTGGAATTGTAATTTTGGGGGTCGCAAGCTGAAAAGTTTTTACCTAATTTAGCGAAGGACTATTCCTAGCTTAAGCTAAACCCTGTTTGTGGAGCCCATATTTGCTTATAACTAAAATTGATTGTATTTAACCCTTTAACTTCCACTGTAATAAAATAACTTTTTTGGCTACATTGTGTTCGTGACACCACAGATTTCTTGGTTGTTTTACTGGTAGCCTATGGACAAAAGGTTAACCAGGCCGTTACAAAGGTTAGGTATACAGTAAATTACTGAATAATGATGAAATACTGATTATGAAAAATGGTTGCAGTGTGCTTTTTGAGGCCTGTTCACACCAAGATCAATAACTATTTTGGAAATGAATGCTGTAGTTACATCAACAACACAATAACGTTCTGTCTTTTATAGAATTATGCTCCAAGATGAGCAGTCAAGTATTTTTTTTTTTTTTTTTTTTTTTTTTATCTCCAATGGACCACAGTTTATATTATTAAGTGAATACATCTTTGGAAGGCTCTCTTTGGTGTGAATATGTCTTTTAGTCTTGTGAAAGCCTTGTCGTCTTGTTATTATGATAAAAATCTAACAATTTTAGGCCATGCATGATCATGATTATACTTCATCCCACCTTTCCACCCTGTCCCGCCCCTGCCCTGTCCAATTTGACCACTTCACCCAGTAACTGTGCAGATCTACTTGCACCGGCCGTCCAAAAGGACCAGATCCGCCGAACCCCCCAAATCATCATCAGCCGTGCCCTCGCAGTCCACCAACAACCCATCAGAGGTCAAGATTCTGTCTGACAGAGCGGCCCGACTCGGATACCGAAAGATCCCTCCGTTTAGTCTTCCTCTGAGGAAGTGCACATCTCAGCCTGTCCACTCACCCTTAGAAATGCCCACTTACAGGAGCCCAGTCAAATCTCCCAGCCAGTACTTTCAGATCTGTTACTAATCCCAACAGCTATAATAATAGACGTGACCTGGTGTTTATAAGGAGTTTTGTGTTCTGTTTCATTCTTTTTGTTTTGATTTTGTGTCACTTTGCTTTGATTTAGGTTATGTTTGTTGAGCTGCGTGTTCATCTTTTTTTTTGCTTCTAAATAGGTTCATTTTCTTTCAAGTGTGCGTTATCATCTGTATTTTTGTCTTTTCCATTGTGTTTGCATGCAGGCCTGTCTGTTATTTTTGTTTTGTGTTTATTACTAATTCATTAACTCATGGACCTGTTGCATTCACATGCTTTTGCATTTGATTTTGCACTGTTTGTCTTTACTTACATTGAACGCATCTCGAATACTGTATGTAATAAAAATCTATTAAAACATTTCCTTTCCAGATTCACTGATCTATTTTATTTGCTGAAGATGAAATGCATTATATTGTTTGAACCAGTTGCAGATTCTCCTAATATTTATTTTGTCGTACACTTCTGGATTAACATTTTCATTCAAACAATTCATCATTCAAACATTTGGGGTCAAAAAATGATCACTTTATTTTTTAGTACAATTTTCATTATGAAACCATTAACTAAGACTTTTAACTCAATAAGCTACTAATTTACTGATCATGCATAGTGGTAGTTCATTCCTAACATTGGGATGTGAAAATAGGGGGCACCCCCCTCCCTCTTCAAAAAAATAAAAAATAAAATAAAATTCCCAAAATTACTAAATATGTTCATCTGGAGCTGTTTCATTGTAAATACAAGTTGAAATGGTCAGTAATATGTTTTATCACTATTAATATTTACTAAGAATAAAATAAATGGTATGAAAACATGCTAATGAATTAGCAAATAGTTTAGCCTATTCAAAGAGCAGCGAATTAATCTCTCATTCTGAATTTTTGCTTGAGAGGTGTCACTTTAAAAGTGCACAGATAATGAAATATAATTATAATTACAAGTTAGCATAATTATAATAAATTATAATGAAAGCATTCAATTGTTTTACTAACTTTTATTCTCATTTAAGAAAATTTTAGTTGTTTAAAAGAAAACCCACCAAGATCGACATGTTTAGATATTATTATTATTATTATTATTATTATTATTATTATGTGTATATGTCTGTGTAAACACACACACCCAAAACCACTTTCGCTCCGCTTTAAATCAAGTGTACAGAATACATTTGGGTAACAGCGTCTATTTATCGCTATGGAGCTTGTCTGACAGTCACGCACCGCTACATGAACTGACTGTTTTGAGGATTGCATAGGAGGGGCAATGGCGCCTGTAAAGGAAAGGAAGGGAATCCTGCCGTATTTATATTTATTTTAAAGTGTTTTCATGCATAAATAAAATGAAAGCACAGAACAGATTAACATTCAAGAGTAATCGGCGTCCCCTGGTGGTTCAGCGGTTTGGGTTGCATATAGTGAGGATTGGCTTTTTAATGTTTATTGTCACCCTTCATAGAAAGATTGAAAAATACAGGAGAAATACAGGAAAATACCTTTACGGGATGATAGTGAGATAGAATCGTAAAATTCGGTAGAGTCCCAGGAAAAACGGGAGGGTTGACAGGTGTGGTAAGATTAGAGAATTAGAATAATATGATGCCGAATATGCACTTTATTCATAATAATAAACAGTCTGTATCGTAATATTAGGCAGGTAATAAGCCACAAGTTAATAGTGATAAATGTTACTTAAAGTATTACAAGGTTTCATTTTTGATTTTGATTTATTTGATCAGATATACAGTAAAAACTATAATATTGTGAAATATTCATACATTTGGAAAGAAAAAACAGTGTATAAAAGTATAATTTTATTCTGTGACTCAAAACTGATTCTTTAGCATTATACCTCCAGTCTGCAGTGTCACACCATCCTTGAAAACCTGAAATACAGTACCTATTAACATTGTTGAAAACACTGCTGCTTAATATTATAATAAAAACTGTCATTCATTTTCCTGATAAATAAGAAGTTAGTGTTTATTTGAAAATGAAATCTTTTTAATATGTCTTTACTGTCATGTTTGATCAATTTTTTTGCATTCTTTCTGAACAAAAGTATTACATTCTTTCAAGTTGCTGAGCCTTCATCTGGCTCAGTCGAAATCTGGTAATAAAAGCCACAACAGATGTGACAGGGATCCTTCAGTGACCCATGCATTTTCTTCTTCTGAAAATCTATGTTGCTTTTTCTAGATGAAGGGTATGTCAAAATGTATTTGAAGGGACGACCCATCACCATGTACATGCCCAAAGACCTGGTGGATACTTATTGCCTGGAAACTAAAGCTGACTTGCCTCCTAAAAAACTGAAGCTAGACTGGGTGTATCCTTTAATGCTGCTGCATGCGAAGAAAAAAAGAAGAAATATAGATTGATTCTGAACGCTCATAGCTGTAAAATTAAATTACCCATTGATTTATTATAGCCTAGAAAATGAGCTGGTTAAAATGCCAGAGCTAAATGATGGATATGGTTTCTAGGTCACTTTTATGTTGCGAGATTATTGTGGATAATGTATGTTCGCTGTGTTGTACTTCTGTATTCACATTCTAGGTTACTATAGGATGTTTAATCATGTACTCTGGTTTTCTCTCTGGATCTGCTGAGCACTGCAGTCTGCCAAAGTGGAATATTTTCTTCAGCTCTTACCCACAATGCATTTGGAATGTTCCCTGAAAAGGACTTTGTGCGGCAAAATTAAGACATTTATTATACCCAAAGCCTAGCAAATGTAAAATATTAAGTGGTCAGCTGGCACTTCTCCACAAATGTTCCAAAGATCTTTATCTTTTTCACAGGGTGCATCTCAATTGCCTCATTAGGCACAATTACACAGTCTTTCTAGTATATTGGAACGTTCACTCCCCAAAGTAAGGATTATGTCCTATGACATGAGAAGCTGCAGGATTGAGAATGAAATCAAAAGCACTTTAATGAACAGCATGAATGCATAGCAGCCCGCAATACTGTTGAGTCATGGTCACACTACAAACCAATATGCATTGGAGCTATACTCTCATTCTAGTGTTAGAATCAAGGAACTTTGCTGCCATACCATGACTGTAGCAGGTGCAGTAATATTACACAGCACCTGAAAAAAAGTCCCCAGCACCAAGCCCTGCACTTGGAATCTGCCTAAAATTATTGCGTCTGCTGCAATATTCATTCATTTTTTTTCGGCTTAGTCCCTTTATTAATCCGGGGTCGCCACAGCGGAATGAATCGCCAACTTATCCAGCACATGTTTCACACAGCGGATGCTCTTCCAGCCGCAACCGATCTCTGGGAAACACCCATACACACCCATTCACACTCATACACAACGGAAAATTTAGCCTACACAATTCACCTGTACTGCAAGTCTTTGGACTGTAGGGGGAAACCGGAGCAAATCCACGCGAATGCAGGGAGAACATGCAAACACCGCACAGAAACGCCAACTGATCCAGCCGAGGTTCGAACCAGCAACCTTCTTGCTGTGAGGCGACAGCACTACCTACTGCACCACTGCGTCGCCGTTGCCTCTGCTGAAATTAATAATAATTTTTTTATTTAGTTTAATTTAATAATTACCTCACCTAATGAAACTGATAAGCATAATGTTTTCAACATAGGTCCATTCTTGGTTTATTCTTGGAGACCACCACTCAATATTTAGCCGTGTTAGATCATCCTCAATATTTAGTCATGGCCTGTTTTTATTTTTAATGTATTTGATTGCCATTAATGTGTCAGAAAGTTTAACCTGCTGCTATAAAATCTGCTGCAGCTGACACTATTATTGTGACATTAATCTAAGATAACACACCAGGGGTCGCAATCCTTTGAAAAAAAACAATTCAGGCTCATTCTGAAAATGTACCTCTATATACATTTCTGCAGACCGTCAAATACGTCCCAGGAGTTTTTGTTTTTGCGAATACACCAGAGGGCGCTGTGTATGCTTTTTGAGTTCTTTGAGTTTTTGAGAACTTTCTCTTGTGTGTGCTATTTGCACCTGCTGTTCTCTCGTAAATCCACTGGAGGCCACTGTTGCCTGACTGTTTGACTGATTGACTGACTGATCGACTGACCCACCCTCTCCCTTCCCTAAACCCAACCAATAGTAATTTAAAAAGCACAGATTTACCAGTCCACCAATTTCCCTAAACCCAACAATTTAAAAAGCAATTCAAAAAAAGAAAAGCCCATGTCTGATTTTTACCACATTTTACCACATTCTCACAATGCTATTTACTTGTTTATTCCAATTTTTTGGCTTTTGTTTTGTCTTACTTTCTGGAAATGTTCTTCACCGGACTCAAACCCCGTCTTCGTGGTCATTTCTTTTCTGCATCTCAAGTCTGCCAACGTACATGGACAAACTTGTAACCGCCGGAAAGCTGTCCATACAGAGGTAAGTGTTCAGTGCAAAAAGGAACAGCGTCAGAAATGTATATAGGGCTACGTTTTTAGAATGAGCCTATGTTGCAACCAAAATTTAAAGCCTGAAGGCTTTTTATTTGAATGTGTTTTTTATGTGACTATTAAATACTATTTTTATCTCATGGGTTATGGATAAAATATGGTAATTCTAATAGTTTCATAAAATTGACTTCTACCTATTGTGCCACCGCATCGTCTTGATGGGAAATTTAAGAAATAATATAAATAGTTCTCTTTAACTTTCAGCTGCAGCTGTATGTGATCTATAGCTGATAACCCATGTGGATGGATGATAAATGTCTTCTACATCTACATCTTGGCGCAGAAGGCCCCTACTGGCCCATATCTATCAGCTGATAACCACTCATAATACCCTTTCAATCAAGTGAAAACATTTTAATTGGCTGAGAAAACCATGTTTTGTGGTGTAGTACATAAAAAAGAATCAGTTCTGATCTTACCAGCTCCTAAATGCACATTTACGATATACTGATTCACAACCTACATTGAGCAGATTGAAACAGCAGATTGAGACACATCCCTTTATATCTGAGGTTATTAAGCTCATCAGTAGGTATTGACCTTGACTATAACCCAGTTATGGTTACCGGGGCCGCGACTGTCGATCCAACCTGTACTTGCTCCCGACGGGGGAAACGGTTTACTTCATTGCATCTGTGGTGGTGCTGTATAATGTGGATGAGCAACTGCAAAGACACTACACTGGACATACTGATGATATCAAGTGGTAAGACTTACATTTCGGTCTGTTTGACATTATCATTCATTTAAATGCACAGCCTACTATGATCTCACACATCAGGCCAGTAAATTACATTCAGTATCTCTTCATCAAAGATGCCATATCTAAAGAACATGCAGCTGCTTGAATTATTATTCAGATATGCAGCGGCATATTTTTCAAGCCTGTGCTGAATAAAGAATTTTTGAGCAATGTTGTTTAATTTTCTGCTTTGATGTGCAATTCTACTGTATATTTATCATTAGTCATGTCTCTGAAGGTTATTATTCATTCCATTGCCATCCTTGAGTCTGTATTTTGTCTCTTTGGTATGTATGAGAGACTTCAAGGCCATTTTACAAGCTCAGAATTAGTTAATAATCATGCATTACACATAAAATGTAATAACATTTGTTACATTGTATTTATAATTGAAATTTCAGGTTCATATTAATTTGTTGATCAAAATTTCTGTATTTAGTCATGGAAAATATTACTTTATAATTGTTCAAAAGTTTTTTTGGGAACAATTTATCTGTTTCATGTTTTATTATAGTAATAGCTTTAAATTATGCATAATTACATATACCAAACTAACGCTAAACCTCACCATCATTGTAACCATGTAGTGTAATTACAGTAGTACACAGCTTTTTATTATTAGTCAATACTTTAATATAATGTAACACTATAATGAGGACATCACAAAATGACATAACCATATTTTCACTGCAAGTAATGTTATATTCAGAATATATACATTAAATGTATCTAAAAAGAATGTAATGGCATTTACAGTATTACAAAAGATTCATATTTTCAAGTAGATGCTCTGTTTTTTTAAGATGCTTAACAATACTTAGATTATTTTCATTTCATTTTCTTGTCGGCTTAGTCCCTTTATTAATCCGGGGTTGCCACAGCGGAATGAACCGCCAACTTATCCAGCACATTTTTACACAGCGGATCCCCTTCCAGCCGCAACCCATCTCTGGGAAACACTTAGATTATTATAGCATAAAATACATAAATGAAATATACCCAAAAATCAAAACCATTGATTTAAAATATTTTGAACAAAGTTGTATTAATAATAACAATAATTATTATAATAATAAAGCATATATACACTACCTGTCAAAAGTCTTGCAATATCAACAGCCTAAGGTATCAAGACATTTGTGCTTCCCATAACATTACAAACCACAGGAAAGCGCTCCTTCTCATGCTTCAGCCTCCACATTAAAGTTACTGAAAGAAAACAAGGTCAAGGTGCTGCAGGATTGGCCAGCCCAGTCAACAGAAATGTACATTATTAAGCATATTTGGGGTAAGATGGAGGAGGCATTGAAGATGAATCCAAAGAATCTTAATGAACTCTGGGAGTCCTGCAAGAATGCTTTCTTTGCCATTCCAGATGACTTTATTAGGAAATTATTTTAATGATTGCAGAGATGTATGGATGCAGTCCTCCAAGCTCATGGGAGTCAAACACAATATTAATTCTTTTTCCACTGCAAGATTATATTCTATACTGTACATTGTTTCTGTTAAGTGACAACTTTTGTCTAAGCAAAGACCTTACTGTCCTAATCAAATAATTAAAAATAAAGGGATGATTGTATTTTATTTTGGTAAAATAAGCATAATCTAGAGGCCTTAGCCTTTCAAATAAGCCACTTCTGATACCAAATGATCTACTAGAAGTCAAGTTATTATATGTAGTTTCTAAAAAATGGATAGGTGACAAGACTTTTTTTGTCAGGTAGTGTATGGACATACAGAATATACACATACATCTAGTCATATATACAGTTGTCAACATTTAATGCGGATCAAAAACATTTTCAAAAATTGTCCTAAGACAATAATGGGTGTTCAATAGTTTTAGGATAACTTTGATGATAGATGATGTTTCATTTTAAATGTTGACTACTCTACAGTACACATTGCATTTTAAAATGCGTTAAAATAATAAAAAAAAAAATTCAATAATACTTGGTTAACACAAGAGGCCATCAACCATCAAATAGTAGCATGTATGTCATCTGTGACGTCTGGGCCTCAAGGACTCAATTGAGTATAACATGATACAAAGTAAATAAGACAAAGTAAACACATTTCCACTTGACCTCCAATTTCAGGCTGAAAGAAAAGACCCAAACATCACACAATAATCTCTATTATTATATGGTTTGTTATTCTTCAAAGGACTTCGCAGCATGTCACTGCAATGTTCACTGTAACTCAAAGACCTTGAAAAACAGCAACAAACGACCTGTAATAAAAATGTTTCCAGTGTTTTTATGACCGGCACTGTGACACATGAAGCTCTGAGTCATTGTGTTGTGATGTATAAATGTGCGATGTGCCCTGTCTGCTGTGTCATCGCCTCTACATCCTTCACCTCTTCTCTCCTCCCCGCAGCCTCGCTGTCCATCCTGATAAAATCACCATAGCAACAGGACAAGTGGCTGGCACATCCTCAGATGGAAAAGTAAGACGGATGTTTCAGCTCACATATTTATAACCGAAATAGCTCATTGCTAATATAATAAGCTTAAACCTGTCATAATAAATCTGAATGTTGTCGCATGTGCCTCAAGAGTCTGTCGTAACAAATGATCAAGTGTAATCTGTGTGATTTTTTGTGATTTTGTCTGGCAGCAGTTGGCTCCTCATGTGCGCGTGTGGGACTCTGTGAGTTTGAACACTTTGCACATCCTCGGAAACGGTTTCTTTGATCGAGCGCTGGTCTGTCTCTCCTTCTCAAAATCGGTAAGAGTCAGAGACTTTCTGTTGATGATAATAATGAAGATTATTATGTGCCACAGCAAAATCATCAGCTTTGAATCTTTTTTTTAATTGTACAAACCATCAAGAACATACTGTACATACAACACAATATAAAAGGTGAACACAAAAAAAACTAATATAACAATGGTAAAAAATAAACAAATGTAAAAAAAAAATACAAATAAATACACAAAGCATAGTTTACAGCATTTCAACATCCAATGATTTTAAGAATTAACAGGGGAATCAAAAAAAGTGAATAATAATTGATACATATTTCAGATTTTTTTTGCTTTTCAACAATTTCACAGTAGAAATAAAGAAATCAAATTGATACAAAAAACTGTTAATGTGGGAGATGACTTAGCAAATTCTGTTTGTGTATGTGAAATTTTGCCAATAAAATAAAGAAATGAACAATATATTCTAGACTTTTGTTAAATGTATTTTCATTATAAAAAAAATTATATATTTTAATGTGAAATAATAACTAAGTTTTGTCATTTTAAAAATATATTTTGCTAGATCCTACCAAAAACTGTTTACAACATTACATTCAAAAAATAAATAAAAAAGATTGTCTTTATCTGCATTGCAGAAATTACAGATGTCCTCCATTTCAATGTAATTTGATTCAGCTTTAAATCATCAGCTTTTTAAAGTATACCTCATTAGATAGCATGTTTAGATAGCAAATGCGTTCTAAAAATTATTAACCTTTGTCCAGTTTACCTCTACAAACATATGAGTCATAAAATGTCTTTAAACTTTAAAATCTTTAAACGATTCCTATTAATCCACTTGTGTGTACTTCTCAACATGTCTGTTGTTTTCTACTATCTTCTGCAGTTTGTTGTTGTTCTATTTCTGCCATTTTAGTTTAGTTTTGCTATCTTGTAGAAAATCTGTTTAGTGCAAATAAACTCACTGCGAATGTGTAAGCCTTAGTAGAGCAGTCCGATCTTACTAGCCAAGCATGCAATATACTCATACACTAATATGTGTGTAAAACACAAATGGAGGATGTTTAGACAAATGTAGGCATGGGCCGGTGTAAGATTCTGACGGTACGTTAACCTTGGATAAAAATATCACATTATTTTACAGTATTATGATTAAAGCTCTGCAATATGTTCTTTTTAAATGTCTGGGTAAAAAACAGCAACCTTTTTCCCCCATTTAAAACTATATATTTTATTTTGAGAAACATTTATAATATTTTGGAGCAGTAAACATGTCAGGCTAAATAATTAAAATAAATCATTGACCTCTGCTATTTTCATTAGTTAAAAAAAAACATACATTTCTTTAAAACTTAAAAGAGGTATCTTTGGATATCTTTCTTTTCTGTGGATATAAAGTAAGCCACTGCATGGTTCAGGTCTATTGGTCTACAGGATGTTGGTGTGCAAGTGATTTTTTAAAGATGTTTGTTGAATCATGGGCTGACCAGTAGTTCTTGATTTGGATGTTTCTTTGCTACTGCTGCTCTAAACAAATACAATTAAATAGTCTTTGTCAACAAAACAACAACAACTTACATATATACCTTTAAACGGTATAGCAGAAAATATTAGTGTTTTTAAAACCATGACTTTTCCAAACCACAGTAAACCATAAAAAACTATTATCATACCCAAAAGTCAAAATCAATGCAATTTCATCTTGTCATCACACAGTTTGACAGTGTTGAGGCCCTTTCACAATAACAAAGACTCTTGCTATAAATCAGTATGACAAGGCATATTTTTTCCAACCAGTCTGTCAATTATTTTCCATGTCGCCCCACAGAGAAATTGGTTGTTCAATTAGATTTGAGCTTTACATCATGTTCCAGATGCTGCTTCTTCTCCTGATGCTCAGTCGGAGTTGATTAGTGGCGCCATAACAAAAGAAAAAAAATCAAAGACATTAACAACAGCAACAAAACTTTGCACAGCTTTTAAATTCACAAACAGCTACAGGATAGGCAAGATAGGTAACATTTAATCAAACATAATAAAAAACTTAAGGTCATAGGCATTATAGATATTTGTTGTTACCAGGCGTAAAATGCATTGTCAGTCAGTCCCAGCTCTCCTGACAGCATTTATTTGTCAAAGGGAAATCAATTGTCTCATTAATAGTACATACACAGGCATTTTTACTGCCATGAGGTACAAATAAACTAATTTCTTGCCTTGCTATTATTGTCTGGGCACTATAATCTTCTATGTGAAGCTGCTTTGACACAATTTACATTGTAAAAGCGCTATAGAAATAAAGATGAATTGAATTTAATTTAACCCCTTCAGACCTGAATTATTAGGTATTTTCTGTAGCCTGCTCAGTTTAAATGTACTGTTGACGTCAAAATATTTCTAATATTTCCCAAATGATGTTTAACAGAGCAAGGAAATGTTCAAAGTATGTCTGATAATATTTTTTCCTCTGAAGAAAGTCTTATTTGTTTTATTACAGCTAGAATTAAAGCAGTTTTACATTTTTAAAACCCTTTTTAGGTCAATATTATTAGCCCCTTTAAGCTAAATTTTGATCGATACAGAACAAACCATCTTTATACAATTACCCTAACCTGCCTAGTTACCCTATTTAACTTAGTTAAGCCTTTTAATGTCACATTAAGCTGTATAGAAGTGGCTTGAAAATTATATAGTAAAATATCATTTACTGTCATCATGGCAAAGATAAAATAAAGCAGTAATTAGAAATGAGTTATTAAACCATTATGTTTAGAAATGTTTTGAAAAAATCAGAAATGAGAGAAAAAACATACAGGGTTACTAATAATTCTGACCTCAACTTTATCTGTCAAAATGAGCTTCAGTGTTATTAAAAAAACTTTCATTACATTCAGAACGGTGGAAGCTGGTTGTGTGTTGTGGATGACTCCAATGACCACATGCTCTCTGTGTGGGACTGGCAGAGGGAAGACAGACTCGCTGAAGTCAAGGTGAGTGCTTCAGTATTCAGCATAGATTTATTAGCATTGTCTACTTTGGGTCAGCATTGGGAGTGCAGAAATAACCTGATTTGCGCATCTATGTCTTTTTTTCTCTCCCCTTTTAGTGCTCCAATGAGTCAGTGTTTGCTGCTGATTTCCACCCGACAGATGCTAATATAATTGTAACATGTGGGAAATCACATCTGTGCTTCTGGTCATTAGAAAAGGGGTCTCTTGTGAAAAAGCAGGGTCTTTTTGAGGTAATCTCCCCTAAGCCACAAGACTATTTTTATGAAATCAGATTAATTTTTTTTTATTTTATTCGGAAAAACATGTGCATGTGCATCATAAGTGCCATGCAGTAAAATGTAGAGACATCTGCTCATCCTTTAATGCAACTGTTTTATGCTTCTATGATCAAAAACACACACATGGAAGTATTACATTATTAGTGCATTTTCATTTTTGAGTGAAATGTCTCTTTAAGGTCTGCAAGGTGTCCGCAAGGTCTTAAAAAGTATTAAAAGTTGACAAATCAATGTAAAGAAATTTAAGGGCCTTAAAAAGTATTAAAAAGTATTAAATGCTATTTTGCAAGGTATTACATTTTCTTTAATCAAATTTGATGATGCAATGAATGGTTGTATGCTTAAGTTTGCATGAATTAAATCTGTGAATATCAAGATGCTGTGTAGTTTATAAAATCAATGAACTCCTACTAGATTTGACATCATGCTGCTTTGTTTACCGCAGTAACCAAGGCAACACCATTATTTCTACATTTTTATAGGCGCCAACCTGCTGAAGTAGCTAGATTGAATATATTTTTATTCAGTATATGAATAAAGCTTTAGTTTTGGATTAATTTCTTACATTAATATTTTGTAAATATACTGTAAGTTAAAATAACACCAGTTTTTTTGATTGAAAAGTGGTTATAAGGTCTTTAAATATATGGAAAGAGTCTTTAAAAAGGTCTTAAAGGGTAGTGAATTTCACTCTCTGATTCCTGTATACACTTTGGGTCTGATTTAGTCATGTGTGTCTAAACTGTTCACTTGGACTGTGTAGTTGTAGACTGTATAAAATGCTTGTATTGGCTCTGTGTTTAATGTGATACATCTGTTGCATTTCTGCTTTAAAAATAAAGTTATATTTATGTTTCTTGCAGAAACAAGAGAAGCCCAAGTTTGTATTGTGTGTGACTTTTTCAGAAAATGGCGACGCCATCACTGGAGACTCGAGTGGAAATATACTTGTGTGGGGCAAAGGTAAATGAATAAAACATTTGTTCTTGTTATGGAGTTACTTATTGATTGATATTAATGATTTGTAGAAGTCTACCTTCATGGAACTCATTCTAAATTCATTTGAATGAGTGTTATACAGCTGTGTTTTCTAAGGGTGAACCTACTGCTTCTTAATTTAGTGATCATAGGTGAGAGATTATGTTCTATTTTAAAGAGCACCTATGATGAAAATCATCTTTTGTAAGCCGTTTGGACAGAACTGTGTGTAGGTATAGTGTGTCCACAGTCATATTGGAGTTATATAAAGACAACAAGTCTCTTTTTTTATTTTCTTATGTTAAAATAGCATCCAAATCCCTCCCATTTTGAGGCCTACTGCAAAGTGACGTTGAGTGTGTGTGTGTGTGTGAACATTATAACTACATTGTGTGTGACTCCTCATTCTCATTGACTAATTAACGCCACAACAAATACATCAAATAATTATTGGGAAAGTTCATACTGTAGTATTTCTCACAAACGTTACGTGAGATCTGTTTCCTTCTTGTCTGTCACTGTGCTGTTTATCTAAGGCAGCCGAAGAATAAAGCACACTCTGACAGGCACATGAGAATGGTGGGTGGGGAGAACTAGCATTAAAGGCACATCCTACAAAAACAGCTACATTGTGTTCAAAGCAAAAAAAAAAAAAAAAAAAATCCAACATTTCAAAAGGTATAATAAATAATCTGATGGGTGTTTTGAGCTAAAACTTTGCAGACACATTCTGGAGACACAAAAGACTTCTCTTGAATCTTAAAATAGGTGCCCTTTAACACAAATCAATACAATCTTTTCATGTAGACTGTGAACACCTTTAATGGCTGGATTGGTTCAGTGGGTTTATGTAATGCTGGTTTTGTGCTCATGCTTGACAGGGTCTAACCGTATTAGCTTGGCCATTCAGGGAGCACATGAAGCCAGCGTTTTTGCACTTTGCATGTTGAGAAATGGGACGTTGGTCTCGGGTGGGAAGGATCGTAAACTCATATCATGGGATGAAAATTTTCAGAAGATTCAAACAGTGGAGGTAAGGATTTTTTTTTATTTATTTGTATATTACCATGGTCAAGCAGGCGGTCACAATTTAACCCAAGTTTTGTGTGTTATTATGAGGTGCCAGAGTTATATGGCCCTGTTCGCACTGTGGCTGAGGGACGGGGAGAAACGGTTCTTATTGGCACCACCAAAAACTATGTCCTACAAGGCAGTCTGAATGGAGAGTTCATACCCATTACCCAGGTAAGGTCACTAATATTCCAAGGGATCTTTCAAATGATTTATAATATACAGCATATAATTATTTTAACTTTTTAAAATGTAATTATTATTATTATTATTACGGTATAGCATAATTATAATTGTACTGTTTGAAGTTGGATATTGCATAATTATTTTTTAAATTTTCCAAATTTTTACCTTTGGATGAGAGATTTGCTGACATCTTATACTCATCAAACTTTTTATAAACAAAACATTTACGAAGAAATGGCGCTAACATATCATTGTAAAGAGAGAAAAAAGGAAACAGTGACAACTGCTGCTTTATGACAAAATATAGATTGTATGATTCTTATGTAATTGTAAGAAAAAAATGTAAAAAGAAACAAACACTGACACATTCATAATGATGATAAATTATTATTTATATGAATATAAATCTAATTTATATATTTATTTATCAGTTATAATCAGGTTGCGAATTACAGGGGGGGTTCGGGGGGATTAAAGCTTGATCCCACTGAAGGAGGTCAAAACAAGATGTATAGGTGGTCAACTCTTCTTAATAGTGAGAAATATTTCCCTCTGTTCTGTATTTTAAATAATAATGTTAATGATTAATACAATAGATAATATAAATTTACATTTGACCACCCCTATAATGGTTTAAACCATTTTTAATGCATGATTGCGCCAATCAGTCTATTCGAAAAAAAGTCTGAAAGCAGAAGCAGATCTAGTGCACCAATAGACATCATTTTCACAAGACTTTGTTTTCTTTTAAAATAGGTGTTTGTATCTATATTTAGCCTGAAAATAAATTCAAATTAGACGCATAGTTTGTAGTTTAACCTACAGTAACATCGGAAATAGCTAATCAGAGAATATTGTAGGTCAGATTACACTAAATATGTCTCAAAACGCTGAGAACTTAAATACATTTTATTAATAAACTAGATGTAATTAAAAATAAATACAGAAATGACTGAAGCATGTTTTACAGAAAGTAACCGAAACAGTTGACCCACCTGATCGTCAATATATACTGTAATGCACACTGGTTTTAATATTTATTACAATGATCATTTTTAAAAAATAACATTGATCAAAAGAATAACTTTCATTGATAATTATTTATTATTCATTATAATTATTAATTATCCTTAAAAAGTATGTAAATTAATCTTGCTGTTTTGTTTTTCTTTTTTAATTACAGTTTTAAGATTCTTTTTATTAAAGTAGTTATATATATATATATACAGAATATGCAAACTCTACAAAGAAATGCTAACTGACCCAGCCGAGGCTTGAACCAGCGACTTTCTTGCTGTAAGGCGACAGCACTACCTACTGCGCCACTGCATCGCCCACCCCTGAGTTAGAAGTTCCTAAATAGATAATAATTCAATTATTAAATAATTGTGACATGTTCTCCTTGCCATGTGCCGCTAAGTGTAATTGTATTGTTTACAAATTATTTTTCTTTATATTTTTAGATTATATTATTTGTGTAATTGTATTTATTGTAATTTCTTGTAATTTCTCTGTAATAACCCTTTGATGCACAAGCTATAAAATAGAATAGAAAAAATGAACTTAGACGGGTCACTTTAGACCCATGTAGTGCATCAAAGGGTTAATATCATATGTTAAGCACTTAGGATCTAAGAGGAATGCAATTTTGATTCTCTGTATGTCCTGTTCGTGTGGTTGAATAGACAATAAAGCTGACTTTGACTTTAATAAATAATAACTTTAAAACTAAATCTTTAGCAAATTCAAATTAAACAGTAAGAAGCAATGTTTGTTCTCTTCAGTGTTCTCTTCAAACAAAATTAATTTGCGTCTTGTGTCTGTTTGATTGCCAGGGCCACACAGATGAGTTATGGGGCCTTACTATCCATCCTCTGAAGCACCAGTTCCTCACCTGTGGCCATGACAAACACATCTACCTGTGGGACTCAGACTCCCATCAGCCGATCTGGACCAAAACACTAGAGGTGAGCATCCTTTTACATTGCTATAATGTCATCTGATAGCTTACGCATCAGTTTCCTGTTATTGAAAGTCATGTTACTACTGCAGCTAAAATGAAACAAGCCCCGCAATTCCTCAGGCCGAGATGTAAGTGAGTTTGTGTTGACAGGATGTTTGATTGAGCTTATCTATATGTTTCTCATCTCACGTTCAGGACTCAGCTCAGTCGGCTGGATTTCACCCCTCTGGGGCGACGGTGGCTGTAGGAATGCAGACAGGCAGGTGAGGACAGCCATTTCTTTTCATCAACGGGGTCCCTGACACATCATTTCCATTCGGGAATAGGGGTCTAATAGAGTGTTACACTGAAGAGCCAAACACTTATTATTATGCTAATGCCACACAGGAACACAATAGCACTGTTCCATAGGCATTCTTCAGCCGTCTAAGATTTCTTTTTTCTGTAAGAGTCCTGATAATGGCTCAAGATGAAGCTCTTGATTGTTAGGATTTTTTTTCTTCTCTAAAAGGGATCATGCAAAGATACAAGAATAGGGCCAATAGGGGGCACCACATTGGTCAAAACATGAACAGTCTTAACTGCAATGTTTCTTGTCCAGTCTAGTTTCTTACATCATTGTAATCCTTGGTTCAAGGCAAATATAATGTCTATCTTTGTTTAAGATTTCATTTCTAGTATGCACTTTTTTCGCCATTTTGAGATTTTTAGGATGTTTTCTAATTTCATGTAGCTCTTTGCAAGCTACTGCTAGTTTATTTTAGTTTTTTTGCCCAATCAAATCCAGTGCAGTTATGTCTAAATATCAAGTTATTTAAAATAGTAGAATTTTCACAACTTCACAACTTTACAACTTTACATCCCCAAAACTTTTCAATTTGGTGGAGCTACTACAGTTGCAACCGTATGAGGCGCCATTTACACTAGCTGCACTTTTGTTTTAAAAAATACATTTAAAACTTAAATATATGTCCACAGTACTTTGACATCTTCGACATGTGGAAACAGAGCGTTTTATTTTATATTATAAAGACCCTGGTTTGTTATGTGAATGCTGGTGTTACGTTTCAGGGTAAATGGACTGAAATGGTGACTTTTGAAAATGAATCATTACCCATGATGATTGCACATCCTGTAGGCAGCATGTACATATGCAGGCAATATATGTGCAGACCCAGTGGTTGTAATTTATCACGTACTATGCATTTAAGGCTGTATAATGTAGAAACTGAAACAGTAAAAATGGAAAAGGACAAGGAGCTTTTTCGTTAAAAAAATAAAAATAAATAAATAAAGTAAAAAATTAACAAACGCTGTTTTAAAACCAAAACTTTGAGTATATATATATATATATATAGATAGATAGATAGATAGATAGATAGATAGATAGATAGATAGATAGATAGATAGATAGATAGATAGATAGATAGATAGATAGATAGATAGATAGATAGATAGATAGATAGATAGATCATCATGACATTTTTTATATGGAATTGGAGAACCGGTGGTGCTATGACAATCATGAAGATCAAAAATACTGAATTTGTCTGCCAATTCACCTGAAATGGCTAATATTTGCATTTTTTATCATTGATTTAAGTGTTTATGGGTTACTAAACATTAAATAATCTTTTTACATGAATTCTATTGATCTCTAAGCACAATAATCCCTGCCTGCAGCTATATTTATGTGTGTTTCTTCAGACCTGTGTGTTTTTAATCTTGTGCTTTTACTCATTATGATTATGTGCAGGTGGCTGGTGCTCGATACTGAATCGAAGGATCTCGTCACGGTTCACACGGATGGGAATGAACAGCTGTCTGTGATCCGCTTTTCTCCGGGTTAGAGTTACTTCTCCCTGCAGCTTTTTTTCTTTTTGCTGGGAAAACATTAGGATGTTAGCCAAAAACTTGCACTCTTTTAAATCTCTAACAATTGATTAAGTTGAAAAAAACCCTGGTTATTTGTTCCAGATGGTAATTTCCTCGCAATAGGGTCTCACGACAACTACATCTACATTTATGCTGTGGCAGAAAATGGCAAGAAATACAGCAGAGTTGGAAAGTGCTCAGTAAGTATGTGTTTAAAAGCAACAATATGGCTTTTGTATAAGTAATGTCTGTAATAGATCCCACATCAAAAAGCTGACTTATTATATTGGTCAAAGGATGCGTCAAATTATTTTTTACATACATGGTAGTGTCTACTTTAAGGTTTCATTCTTGCTGTAAATACTGCATGCCTGTAAATCATGATAAAAATGTATGATTTACAAAAATCATGATGGTATATATTACAGTCATTAGAGTCATCAGAAAGAAGCATTAAAAGTATACATTATTTGTATGCTTGAAAATACATTTGCTTAATTGAGCCACTACTATTAAATGACCTAATATTTCAAATTACATTTTTATTATTACATTTTATATATGTATTATTTTTTATTTTGCTTTAAATGTAGGCTTGTTTTAATTCTGTTAATCGTCTCTTTTTTCTTATTTTATGTTATAGTCTATTTAGCTTTTTTATAAATCATATGTTAAAAAAAAAAACTTTAAAACAAAACTACCATTATTCAATGTCTCTGCCTTCTGAAATTAAATTGTTTTTGTTTGCACTGTCTGTTATTGCTCACAGGGTCATTCAAGTTTCATCACCCATCTGGATTGGTCTGTGGATTCTCAGTACTTGGTATCCAACTCAGGGGACTATGAGATCCTGTACTGTAAGGACTGATACAATGTTTTTAGCATGTTTTTTAGGTGTTATTAATTATTGACAGTAGTTTAGTCAAGACACAGAAATAAAACCTCTAATAAAAATATTAGTTTGTCATACAAATACCTGCACTGTTTTCAAAGTGTGACATACTTTTCTGTGTCTTTAAGTTAGACTTTATTAAAATATGGCATCTTCATATATGCAATTTTTCCAAGATCTGATTCTTCAAATCTTTTATTGCTTTAGTTTAAAGGGATAGTTCACCATAGTTTAAAAAAAAAAGAAAAATAATTGAAAAATTATTATTTACTCACTCTTTTACTGGTTTCAAAGCTTCTTTCCACTCTTTAACACAAAACAAGATATTTTTTTAAATGCTGGAAATATAAAACTATTGACTTCCATAGTATTTGTTTTTGCTACTATGGAATTCAATGGTTACAGGGTTTCAGCTTTCTTTAGTATATCTTCAGATTAATAAAACCCATAAAGGTTTGGATAAGAATGTCTGTTTTAGGTATCACTTTATTTTGATGGTGCCTTTAATGTGTTTTTGGATTTTAGGTTACTTTGCATCTACATGCCAACCAATTCTCAATAGATTATGTGTAGGTTGGGGTTAGGGTTAGTGTAAGCCAGGGGTGGCCAACTCTGTTCCTGGAGAGCCACCTTCCTGCAGATTTTAGTTGCTACCCATATCAAACACACCTGCCTGTAATTATCACGTGGTGTTCAGGTCCTAATTAATTGGTTCAGGTGTGTTTGATATGGGTAGCAACTGAAATCTACAGGAAGGTGGCTCTCCAGGAACAGGGTTGGCCACCCCTGGTGTAAGCTGACATGTATTTGCAAAGTGTTTTGTTTGTTTAAACAGGCCTCTCTATGAAATCCAATAATTCACATTATAAATTCAGTTAATGATTCTCATTGTTGTCTTTCAGGGATTCCCTCTGTGTGTAAGCAAGTTGTGAGTGTGGAAACCACTCGGGATATTGAATGGGCCACTTTCACTTGTACTCTGGGCTTCCATGTTTTTGGTAAGCTTAATGTTAGCGGTGTGAAATAATAATAATAATTCAATTTTCATCTTTATTTCTATAGCGCTTTTACAATGTAGATTGTGTCAAAACAGCTTAACATAGAAGTTCTAGTAAATTGAAACTGTTTCAGTCCAGTTTTCAGAGCTGAATTTCAGTTTAGTTCAGTTCAATGTGGTTTAAATTTCACTGCTGAAAGTCCAAACACTGAAGAGCAAATCCATCGATGCGCAGCTCCACAATTCCCAAACCAGTGGCCACAGGAATAAACTTCACCAATTGACGAAAGTGAAAGAAAATAATAATAATAATACTAAACTAATACAGTTAATAAATTAATACATCCCTATAAAGTTATTAGCCACGCATTTAACTTTAAATATATATCAGCACGTCTATACTGTAACTACACAAAGTGCCTTTTACTGTATATGAAGATGTAAATGTCCAGTCATAAATATATATAGTGTTTGTTTTATTCATCAGGATTGTGGCCAGATGGCTCAGACGGTACCGACATCAATGCTGTGTGCAGTTCATATGCAAAGAGACTGCTGGTGACTGGAGACGACTTTGGCAAAGTTCACCTCTTTTCATTCCCCTGCTCTCAGTCCAGGGTACGAAACACTTCTAGATCTTATAAATATTGTTATGATTCATCCGGGTGCCAAATAAGGATAAAACATTGTCCTGTTTCTCTCTGCAGGCGCCTAGTCACATCTACAGTGGACATAGCAGCCACGTCACCAATGTTAACTTCCTGTTTGACGACAGCCACTTAGTCTCCACCGGAGGAAAGGACATGAGTATAATGCAATGGCGTGTGGTGTAACATGACCACCACCACATTGAACTTTCTTGATTTTCTGGGAACAAGTGGCTTGGCAAAGCTAAAGCGGGGCCATTGACTACAGACTAAAGTGGAGTCTCAGTTTTATTCGCCTTTAATTGTTATCTCAGGACACCGATATTTGAAGTGACTCTGTTTTGACTGTCTCACCCACTCCCTAGGCTGTTAAAGAGATGGATTAGGAGGAAAACCCTTCTCTTTTGCTTTGAATAACCAACTAAAATAGCCGATCTAATGGACAAATGTGATGCCAAAGCACATGAAGGAACATATTAGGAACAATTTGTCCAAGTTCAGTATATGATCAAAGCACTGACCAATCCTAACACTGTAACATCTATTAACAGTATCAAAAGACCTGTGTTTTAAACAATTGCACGTTAAACATTGTTTTATACTGAAATCTCTCTCCCTTATCTTATTATTATTATTTAGCTTTTGCTGCCACCGGCTGGTAAGTAAGGGGACTGCAGCTACCTTCCCGCGTTTTAAAGGGGTGGTTCACCCAAATTCCCCACTATTTACTCACCCTCAAGTTGTTATAAACCTTTATAAGTTTCTTTCTTCTGTTGGACACAAAACAAGATATTTTGACGAAAGCTAAAACCTGCAATCATTACAAACCTATAATACGGAAGTCAATGTTTCCAGGTCTCCAGCTTTCTTCAGGATATCTTCGTTTGTGTTTAGGAAAGGGAAGGAAAGGGAGAGTAAATGATGACGGAATTGTCCTTTGATTATTTAATACATGTTATTGTTTTCTCTATTTAAATTAATAGAAATAAAAATAATACTTAATCAGCCATCAAGGATGAAAAAGTGACTGTACTGCAGATTAAGACCATTGATCACTGGTTTAGTTCAATCCTCACTCTGTTATTTGCATCAACTAGCTTAACTTGAACGTCATAATGTAGTGCACATTTACATTAGAGTTGAGCTCCATTTTCATAACCTCTGCTTGGGAAACAGGATGGAACCGTTACCACCAAATGACTGTAGTATTAATAAAACTAAGCATGCACGAGTTTGTCACTGTCTAACCTAATTTTGTTTTTCCATATTCGCTGTCAGATGTGTGGCAAAATAAAGAAAACTTTGTTTAGTTCTTCTGTTAAATATGAGCTTGTTTTTGACTGGATTGTTGGATAAAAGTTGGATGGAAAGTGTAAAAGATAATGGAAGCACCAGCAGAATTTGAAGCCTATTACAAAACCACAGTATATGAATCAGTGGTGAGGCTACAAAAAGGCAACGATAGCACTGACTCTGTCACTCTATGGCAGATCATTTAGACATTCATTCATTTTCTTTTGGCTCAGTCCCTTTATTAATCAGGGGTTGCCACAGCGAAATGAACCGCCAACTTATCCAGCATATGTTTTTCACACAGCGAATGACCTTTCAGCTGCAACTCATCACTGGGAAACACCCATACACTCTCAGTCACACACATACATACACTACGGACAATGTAGCTTACCTAAATCACCTACAGCGCATGTCTTTGGACTTGTGGGGGGAACTGGAGCACCCGGAGGAAACCCGCACCAACACGGGGAGAACATGCAAACACTTCACACAGAAATACCAACTCATTTCCCATTAGTAAATATTAGGGCTACAACGGTACCCTGAAATCAGGGTTTGATGCATACTTTGGTTTTAGGGTCACAATTTGATACAGCTACAGTACAGAAGGAAAATGAACAAATCCCAGTGCTTGCATTTTCTGTTTATTTTGAACTGGCAGAATTGTTTTGTCACAATCAGCTACAGAACTAAAGAGAATCTTGGGATGCAAAAGCACAAAATAAACGCAATAATAAAAAAATAAAAACAGGAAAAAAATTATTGTTTATTAAACTTATGATTCAATAAGCTTCAAAACTTAAATGTCTTTTAATGAAAATTCAATTCAGCTTTTTTGTATAGCGCTTTTACAATGTAGATTATGTCAAAGCAGCTTCACATAAATGGTCAAAGTAACTGGATCAGGGTAGTTCAGTTTTTAGTGTTTAAGTTCAGTTCAGTTTAGCTCAGTTCAGTGTGATTTAATCATTACTGAGAGTCCAAACACTGAAGAGCAAATTCATTGTTGCTAGCACCGTGTCCATCCAGAACCGCATGTGCAGTGGATAACAACTGTTCAATATTATGTGTGTGTAGAAACTCACTTACAGACTAAACAGTATCTTATATTCCCATTGTTTTAAGGGATGTGCATGACTGTTATACACTTGCATGTTTTACAGCACTGAGTGTTTTGATGTATTCTTTGTGAATAACTTCTTGGTTGTTGCAGTTGTTACAAATCTATGTGTACTGTACATTGTAAAAAGGATTGCTTCAAATTTTACAGCAACTTATTTACTATTGTAGCAATTTTTATCTTTCTGCTAAGCTATACACTCCCTGACAAAAGTCTTGTCATCGATCCCAGATGTAGCAACAAATAAGAACTTCTAGTTGATCATTTGGAAAAGTGGCAGAAAGTAGATTTTTTTGATGAATTTGATGAACTGCATCCCAATCATCACAAACACAGCAGAAGACCTATTGAAACCCGCATGGACCCAAGATTCTAACACAAATCAGTCAGGTTTGGTAAAGGAAAAATCATGGTTTGGGGTTACATTCAGAATGGAGGTAAGCCATAAAAAGCCTGAGGTATCAAGGCATTTGTGCTGCCCATTACATTACAAACCACAGGCGAGAGCAAATTCTCAGCAGGTCACCGCTCCTTCCCATACTTCAGCCATCACATCAAAGATCCTGAAAGAAGGTCAAGGTGCTCCTGGATTGGCCAGCCCAGCCACCAGTTATGAACATTATTAAGCATGTCTGTAGTGAGATGAAGAAGGAGGCATTGAAGATGAATCCAGAGAATCTTGATGAACTCTGGGAGTATTTTCAGATGATTTTATTAATAAGTTATTTAAGTCATTGCAGAGATCCTCTAAGGCAGGGGTGTCAAACTCAATTCCTGGAGGGCCGAAGCCCTGCACAGTTTAGTTCCAACCCTGCTCCAACACACTTACCTGTAGGTTTCGAACAAGCCTGAAGGACTGAATTCGTTTGATCAGGTGTGTTTAATTAGGGTTAGAACTAAACTGTGCAGAGCTGTGGCCCTTTTGGAACAGAGTTTGACTCCTGTGCTCTAAGGTCATGGAAGTCATACACGATATTAATTCTTTTTCCACTGCACCATGACTTTATATTCTATACTCTACATTATTTCTGTTATGTGACAATACTTCTATTTGAGCAAAGTCAGACCTTACTGTCCTAATTAAATATTCAATAAATATATTATTTATCCTAATTTTTTTAAAAAATCAACGCATGATCTATCTTATTTTGGTCAAAAAAATGTCTTCTGATACCAATTGATCAACTAGAAGTCAAGTTATTTGTTGTTCCTAAAACTTGGATAGGTGACAAGACTTTTGACAGGTAGTGTACATATGTTTTAGACATATTTTGACTCTTTCAATTTCAGTCTAAATGTGATAATGTTTTTGCGTACCAATATTGTAAAATGTGCTTTAGTTTTACATTAGGCCTAACCAACGAGGTTCACACTATTTCACTAATGTCTACTTCAAAATTTCCTACCAAGTGACTGATATGATTAAATATCAAATAATACCATGGCAGGGGAAAATAAAAATGTTCTGTAAAAAAAAAAAATCTACCCAACAGCCAGAAAAATCACAAAACAACCATCCAATCATAACAAGAGAACGTTGAAGACATATGGCAAAACATTCTACATCTGTTTGTCATAAACCCTTCTCGCTTCTCAAAGTGATGCCCTTCAGAGCAGTACACGTATTCACAAACATCATTTATCACCGAACGTAGGTAATTTGTTTACGCCTGCTTATACCACATCACCAAATGAGCCCGAATAACAGGAAGAGGAGGAATAACAGTAACCCGACGAGGAGAAAGGCAGGGCCCGGAGGAAGCTGCAGTGCGGCATTTTGGCCACAAGTGATCGCTGTTCTGCCTGTGTTTTTACATTATCCCTATAAGCTGCTTTCTCATTGTCATAACACTGAGGAGGAAAATGGCAACTCCAGTGCGCGTTTGCAGACCGCAATTCAGATCGATGTTGTAGGCGCGACCATGAGCTGAACATGGGATATGTTTTATCCAGCTGTGGTGACACTGGGCGATATGTTGTAGACCTTTCCCGACATCTGCATTGCTTCTGATCCGAAGACCGGCTGTGCATCGCTGGATGAGCATTGAACATTCAGGCTGACCATTGTTATATGCAATAGTACACGTGTTGTATTTAAGCTCAATATCATACATATTTATGCGCCGATAGCTTTACATAGAGCGGCTCGCCTATGAGGTTTTGCTGAGTTTCTTTTTTCTCATCTTTTAATTATTTATTACATATTTCGGACATCATCAGAAAATGAGGTAAGCTGCCCATTCTGTTGACACTGCATGTAACGTTATATATGCATTCATTCGCTAAAATGTATAAATCTATAAATGTTTCATTTTGTGTGTTTATATATTATGTTACACAGCACATGACACTTACTCGCAGACACTGGGTGTGTTTCATACCTTGTGTGCGCCCAAGACACTGACAGCATATGGGGTGAGCTCTCAGTGATTTGATTCATTGAGTAGAATCTTTTGAGTCAGTTCACTAAAAGATTTGTTCACTCGTCTGGAAGTTTCGTCATTATGCCAGTAGAGGGCGACTAGGGAATTTTATGTTGAAGCTTTTTATGTGAACCATTAATCAAATAAATGCTAAAATAAGTAGCTGTGCAGTTTACGTTGTTGAAAATCTACAAATTAAGTACAAAAAATGTTAGTGAATCTCAATAACTTAATCATTAGCATCCAAAGAAACGGTAAATTGTTTATTAAGGTGGATTTATACTTTTGCGTCGAGTGATTGGCGTGACCCACAACACCTGCCTTGTGCATAGCCATGCATCTATACTTCTGTGTGCTGTTTGTGTTGCTCTGCAATAACACGTCCGAAACACTAGCTGGCGGTAGAGTTTTTATGTTCCTTTTTGTCGAGCTTTTTCGCGGGTGTTTTTTCTGAATGCTGCAAGCTAAATCTCGTTCATTCAGAGGTGTGAACTGGCGGACCTTAATCATAAGGTAAACACAAAATAAAAGTTTCTATCTGGAGCTTCTTCACGAGACTTGATACTTGTTAAGCACTCACTCCATCGAGTTCATGGCTCTAAGCACTGCCTACGGTCATTACCGATACCAAGCCGACCAAGACTTGCGATATGCGTCGATACAAAGTGTAGTTACACTTTTTGAGAGGTCAGCCACGGCAAAGGATATGCAACTGTGCGAAGGCTATGCCAGACAATACACGTGTGCTTTAAATTATACATTTTTAGCAACGGATTCTGATAGGCTATCAATATAATTATTTATCAACTAGTAAAATAATTGTTCCTAAAGTGATTCCAATGATATTGTTACTGTGTTATTATTGTGGGTAGACTTACATTTTCTTTTAGAATTTAAATGATTATTTCAACTTCGTTATCAATGTTTGTCATTGTATGAGTAAAATGTCCCAGTACTTATATTATCCACTTTATTTGTATTGTAAAAGTATAGAATGCACACAACCTCAGATTCATTAGCTACATGTTTAATTATTTGCTCGATAAACCATGTAGTTACAAGTATGGCAATACATTAAAATAATAGGCTTTACTAGTTTGTAATATAAAGCAGCTGAAATCTAAAAATATCTCAGGTAGGATGAAACCGGTAGTCTCGCACATTCAAATTACAGATGGTCATAACCTTCATATCCTACTGTGGATATTATAAGTATAATAAGATTCAGTGAGTTAAAGAATTGTTTCAAAGCTCTGATTCGCTGATAAACACACACCAGCGATCATTTAGACACACCCAGGAATTGATTCTTAGAAATGCTTTCTGGGTAGTCAACTTACAGGTTTTGGCACACAGCCACTGAAAGCACGAGCTGTTATGAGTGTGCAGATTCTTCACCTGGTTTCTGTTCTGCTGACAGCAGCAGAGAGGGACAGTGTTTGAAGTGTGTGACGGTTATTCAGTGCACCGAGATGCTGAGCATA